GCACCAGTGATCAGGAGCTTGCTGGTGCAATACCAGGATCCTGCAGACACTCCTGCAGGATTTACTAAAACTGGAGAGTGCAAAATCTGGTGCAGCTGTGCATGGTAGCAAATCAGCTTCTAAATTCAGCTCTGACAATAAAACCTGGAAGCTGATTGGTTTCTATGCAGAGCTTCACGAGATCTTGCATTCTCCAGTTTTAGTAAATCAACCTCTCAGTCAGCGGTTTGCCCCTACCTCCCATATGGGCAGGCAGTTACTGAATAGGAGGAAGGATCAATGAATTACGAGAGTGCTCACTAACGCCCAGTTCATTGAGAACTACAAGCTTTGTACTTGTAGTTCATTCCCTAAACTCTGTGAATTAATGATGTGGCCACATATGCGGAGCCTTGCATGGCTGCACTCTTTAAATTGTGACAATGGGTGCGGGGAGAAAATTGTTAGCTTGGAATGCAGGAGCTGGAACCCTCTTCTAAGTTGAATGACACTTACTGTGCACCTAGACTGTACTGGACACACAATCTGGGGGTGCATCAGCATGCTGGCCAAAATTCACAGTACTGTACCACAGAATGTCACTCATGGAACATTAGGTACGGTAAGTGATATTCTGTGCTGCCCACTAAGGCTACTAGAGTGGAAGATGAACCTGTGATTTTGTCGGATTAGCCATACGACAAGTGGGAAAAAAAATATGTATTTTGTGAACTTTTAATAAAATATATGAGAGGGTGAGGAGCTTCAGGGAGGAGAGTGGAAGGCTGGAAAAGGGATTTAAATAGTAATTTTTAAATAATACGGATCCTGATGCAGCAAAGGGGGGATTCTTTGATGAATGTTATGTTTAAGGAACATGAAATGGCAACATTGTGAATTTTTTATTTTAATACAAGTTATTTTTCTTGGATTTTATTTATAGGAGTTATAATTGACATTAGCAGAACTGTGGAATTGTATAACCTAGATTGATTTTAGGCATATTTTCTAGATGCAACCCCTACATGGGACCTTTTCTTTTCTCATATTTCAGGCATGGGTGTTAGTTGGTATGTATAAATGCTGTCAACTACCGAAGATATATACGCTTCCTCTTTGGCATTCTGCCTTTATACATTCTTTGCACACATTCAGGGAAATCCCTGTTTTTGTACCACATTTTGGAATAGTTTTACATTTCTGTTTCTAACACAGGCAGTCTGTCAATGAAACCCCATAGTGTATTCCTTTAAAGCAAACCTGCGAACTTGATGAAGAGGGTGAATGAGCTGTACAATCACATTATCACTTCATGATGTCTGTTAAACTTTTTTTTTACATAGAACTTGTATACCCCTAAAATCCAGGCCATTCATGATTTATATACATGTTAAGAAACTGATACAAGTTCTGTTGTGCTGGTGATGTGTTCCTCTGATTTATTCAGCCATGTAATGTCCTGATATTCACAACAGATCAGTAGCTCTGAGGCCCCATTCACACTTCAAGTAGCTGGAATGTGAATTCCTGCTTGCAAATGTATTTGGGGTGATTTACACGTGTTTCTGCTGTTGACCATAGGTCAGCCCATTCACTTGAATTGATTGCCCTATGCACTATTTTTGGGCAACAAGCTCCAGGTGATTTTTTTTCTCTTGGCAAAATAGCACAGCATTTGGGGTGCAATTAAGAATAAATGGCACCCGTATGCACATTGTTCTTTTGCCGCCATTTGGAATTCCAAATTGGTAGGTGTCAATGGGGCCTAAGGGTAAAGAGCTGCAGATTTATATATCGTGATGATTGGGCTGATATCTGGGAGGCCCCTTTCACTTGCTCAGTTTCCACCAAGGATCGCTTGATACACTTCCAATTCTTACCTAGAGTTTACTTCACCGCTGCTAGACTAGCCAAAATATATCAGGGCCCAGTCCTCTTTATGTTGGAGATGCTCCACACAGCTGAAGATTTTATGCATATTTTTTACGTCCTGTTATTAAACCCTTCCCGTAGGAGCTTTTGACTTGCAGCACCTCAGTCACGTCCATCTCCATCCCCTTTTCTGTTGAAGTCTGTTTGTTAAGCCTGATCAAACCCCTTGCTACCACAAAAGCAATTCGTACTCTTCTCACCGGTATTATTTTATGCTAGGAAATTAATTATTCCGTCATGGAAGAAATCCTCTGCACAGACTCTGGTGTAGCTTTCTTCTACTGCTATGGTTTCTGCTTGAATTTCTGTGTCCCTATTGCTCATTTCAGGATGCTTGATATATCTGTTTATGTCATATTTAGTTGTTTATACTCCAACTCTCAGCTGTTGGAGGATAACTGGAGTTTCTTGCAAGTGCAATACTGAATTATATAATTCATGTGGATATGTTCTACTGAATGTTTTTTTTGGAGTACTTTTCCTGATAGGGTTGGGGAGCACATATTTTGTATCTTATAATGCGGTGTAGCAGGAGGCAACACCTCTCTGGTCTTTGATCTCTACCCTCCTCTTGGTGGAGACCCTCAGGTGGTGAATAGTCGACGAGGCAAATGTTATACTTTTTTGCTGTACTCTGTGTTACTGTTTTATACTGCTTATGGCTGTACTTTTTGTACTGCTGTTTGTACCTTCTGTAAGACTCAATAAAAAAGAATTTTACAAAACAAAAGCTGCAGAGTACCCTCAAGTGTGCCAGCTCCTGACTGCATGTAATCGATATAAAATATTCACATGTAATCTTTAGCTAACTAAAGACATATGTCAAGTGATAGGGGTAACAGAAGGGGCCAGTTGGCTTTAGGTCTTCTTTAACTATAGGGAAGATTAATAAGTGACTGGAGGAAAAAAAAAAAAAAAGTCACAGTGGATAACCCCTTTATCCACTTGACAACCACACCATATTATATGACGTCCTCCCAGAACACACCCTCCCACACACCCCCAGCAATCTCCATGATTGCTGTGTCCTACAGCCACAGCTGATCAAATGATGTGGTAAAAGGCCAATCGCAGTGGCCTTTTACCATGTGATCAGCTGTGTCCAATGACACAGCAGATCACCGGGTAGATGCAGTTGCTGGTTATCGGCTGCACTCTTTTCACGCTGTCACAGCGTGAGGAAAGTACTGCCGATAACCAGAAATTGGCAGAGAACAGATCGGCACTGATGATCAGTGCCCAGCAGTGCCACCCACCATTGCTGCATATCAGTGCAGCATCATCAGTGCCCATCAGTGCTGCCTATCCATGCCACCTCATCAGTGCCAATCAGTGCTGCCTATCCATGCCACCTCATCAGTGCCTATCAATGCATATCAGTGGAGAAAAATTACCTGTTTGCAAAATTTTATAATAGAAACAAAGAGAATCTTTTTTTTTTAATTTTCTGCTCTTTTTTTGGTTTATAGTGCAAAAGATAAAACACTCAGTGGCGATTAAATACCAGCAAAAAACATATCTCTATTTGTGTGAAAAAAAATTATAAAAATGTCATATGGGTACAATATTTCATGACCGCGCAATTGTCAAATGTGACAGTGCTGAAAGCTGAAAATTGGCCTGGGCAGGAAGGGGGTATAAGTACCCGGTAGGCAAGTAGTTCTAGAGTGTATATCAAGCCAAGGGGGATTCTGAATTTGATTTGCACAGTTTGCAACATTTTTGCTAGTCATTAAAGAGCTGATATGTTTTCCAGAAACACTGCCACAAAAACATGCTGGATGAAGCAGCAGATCGGAAGAATTCTACAGATTGAAAAAAACCAAAACAGATGTAGACGGGAGATTGTGAAACCGATCTGGAATGTATTCAGAGGTAACTTCTGTAAAAACAAAGTAAGGTAATATCCTAAGAGCATTATATAAAGTGACGTATGTAGATAATTTGTATAATGTAATGTGTGAAAAATGGGACTAAAATGGAGTTCACATTCTGCAACATCAGCATTGACCAGTCTTCAAAATTGTCAACATGTGGATGTGCAATAACAGCTCTCAACCCTCTATTGTTCCTCAATCTGTCCATTTTACCTTAATATCCACAAGAATGGGCCAAAATCACACCTAAGCAATGCACGCGACTAGTTTCTCCATACAGGATCATCTTGAAGCTGTCATTACCAAAAAAAGGATTTTGTACCAAGTGTTAAATACATTTTAGTTGGCAAATTCAATACTTTTTCCCTGTGTCATTCCATTTTATTACATAACAATTTCTGAACTTACAGTATCTCACAGAAGTAAGTACACCCCTCACATTTTTGTAAATATTTTATTCTAACTTTTCATGTGACAACACTTTACAAATTACACTTTGCTACAATGTAAAGTAGTGGGTGTACAGCTTATATAACAGTGTAAATTTGCTGTCCCCTCAAAATAACTCAACACAAAGCCATTAATGTCTAAACCGCTGGCAACAAAAGTGAGTACACCCCTAAGTGAAAATGTTCAAATTGGGCCCAAAGTGTCAATATTTTGTGTGGCCACCATTATTTTCCAGCACTGCCTTAACCCTCTTGGGCATGGAGTTCACCAGAGCCTCACAGGTTGCCACTGGAGTCCTCTTCCACTTCTCCATGATGACATCATGGAGCTGGTGGATGTTAGATACCTTGCGCTCCTCCACCTTCCATTTGAGGATGTCCCACAGATGCTCAATAGGATGTAGGTCTGGAGACATGCTTGGCCAATCCATCACCTTTACCCTCAGCTTCTTTATCAAGGCATGGTTCCCTCTATGAACTATAGCTCCCCAGTGCTAGCAGCACTCATGAAGCCCCAGACCAAGACACTCCCACCACCATGCTTGACTGTAGGCAAGACACACATTCGTCTTTGTACTCCTCACCTGGTTGCCACCACACACGCTTGACACCATCTGAGCCAAATAGATTTATCTTGGTCTCATCAGACCACAGGACATGGTTCCAATAATCCATGTCCTTAGTCTGCTTGTCTTCAGCGAATTGTTTGTGGGCTTTCTTGTGCATCATCTTTAGAAGAGGCTTCCTTCTGGGACGACAGCCATGCAGACCAATTTGATGCAGTGTGCGGTGTATGGTCTGGGAACTGACAGGCTGACCCCCCCCACCCCTTCAACCTCTGCAGCAATGCTGGCAGCATGCATACATCTATTTCCCAAAACAACCTCTGGATATGACGCTGAGCATGTGTATTCAACTTCTTTGGTCAACCATGGCAAGGCCTGTTCTGAGTGGAACCTGTCCTGTTAAACCGCTGTATGGTCTTGGCCACCATGCTGCAGCTCAGTTTCAGGGTCTTGGCAATCTTCTTATAGCCTAGACCATATTTATGTAGAGCAAGAATTCTTTTTTTCAGATCCCCAGAGAGTTCTTTGCCAAGAGGTACCATGTTGAACTTCCAGTGACCAGTATGCAAGAGTAAGCGATAACACCAACATTAACACTCCTGCTCTCCATTCACACCGAAGACCTTGTAACACTAACGAGTCACATGACACCAGGGAGGGAAAATGGCTAATTGGGCCCAATTTGGACATTTTCACTTGGGGGGGGGGGGGGGGGTACTCACTTTTGTTGCCAGCGGTTTAGACATTAATGGCTGTGTGTTGAGTTATTTTGAGGACAGCAAATTTACATTGCTACAATGTAAAGTTGTGAGTGTACATCTTGTATAATAAAGTGTCATTTCTTCAGTGTTATCACATGAAAAGATATAATAAAATATTTACAAAAATGTGAGGGGTGTAATCACGTCTGTGAGATACTGTATATATAATATTTAAATCAATGTACATTTGCCCTGACAATATTCCTCTTTATGTTACAGTCCACCAAGTGAAGTGTTGCCGCTATCACCACTTTTAGTATGTGTTTTGCTGGCAGTTTTTTTTTGTAGATTTCTGTAAATGCATGAAATTGTACATGCTGTGCACAGGTGTGTATACTCCAACGTATGATCATAGGTCTGTCAAGGAAGTGCATTTTTTTTAAACCTTCCCTATCCCAGGTCAGAAAGCTGGGAGGTAATCCATAGGGGTTGATTTACAAAAACAGTGTAAAATCTGGTATAGCTGTGTGTGGCAGTCAATCAGCTTTGACAGGAAAAAAAAGAAAACAGGAAGCAGATCAGTTTCTTTGCAGAGCTGGACAAGGTTTTGCACACTCTAGTGTTAGTAAATCAACCATATAATGTCCAAATTACTTTCTGTTACTAATGCCATTAAATAAAAGCTCCTCCAGACTTGAATAGACAATAGGGAAGCAGAAATAATTTCAGGATGGCTATAACTCTCTCTGGGTGGAAAGTACCAGTTGCACTTACTGGTAACATTATTTCTGGGAAATCTTCCAGAATGGCACACCTGAGAGATGACTAGCTCCACGTGACAGGAAACACAATCAACAATTGAAAGTTTAAATTCCCCTCCCTTTCCTCCACTCCTCAGTTAAATAAGAGTATTCCCACACACTGGTGCACGAAAAGGTAATCTGTCTTGAATTAACCAACACCAGATACAGGTGGGAAATAGGCCTGCTGTCCTAGATTTCCCAGAAATACCATTACCAGTAAGTGAAACTGGTCCTTTTCTCTAGTCATCTTCCAGGACAGCACACCTGAGATAAGCAAGGAACTCAGGCCTAACTTAGGGTGGGAGCACTGCCTATAATACTTTCTTGCCAAACGCCAGGTCCAGAGGTGACAAGTATACCCTGTAGTGTCTAACGAATGTGTCCTGGCTTGTCCATCTGCTCAATCGATGTTCCAACCCTCTCCGCCGAAGAGGTCACCAGCACTCTAGTAGAGTGAGCCCTCAGGTGTGAGGGAACGGACACCCCTGATTGCTCATAAGCTAAGGAGATGGCTTGTCTGATCCATCTAGCTATTGTTGCCTTAGATGCCTGCTGTCCCTTCCTATGGCCATTAAACAAAATCAGAAGGTGACTACTTCCTGAAGTCACTCCATTCTAATATGTCAGTAAACACCATCTGATATCTAAAAAATTAAAACTCTTTTCCCCCATTCCTAGGGTTTTGACAGAAAGATGGTATGACAATCTACTGTGTCCTATGAAATCTTGAGGCCACTTTGGGTAAATAAAGAGGGTCCTAAATACTACCCTGTCCTCCAATACCACAAGGAAGGGCTCCTTGATAGACAGACTCGCCAATCCTTCTTGCTAATGTGATGGATAAGAGGAAGACTAACTTAAAAGATAAAATTTTAACTGAAATCTGTGCCACTAGCTCAAACGGTGGCTTGGTTAAAGCTTCTAACCCTAAGGTCAGATCCCAAGCCGGAAAATTATGTAACTTAAAGCAGAGTTCCACCTGAAAAAAAAAAAAAAAGTCAGCAGCTACAAAAACTGTTTATTGCCCCGTAGGCTTAAAGTGGAACTTCCCCTTTTGGGTGGAACTCCGATTTAACTGAGGTCACCCTGGCCCCTAGAAACCTCAACCAGGGGCTCTGATGCGAGCCTCCAATCCAAAAAGACTGACAAGGCCACCACATGCACTTACCTGTCCCTCAGTCCAGCGGTGTCCTCACCACGGCTGGTTTCACTGGCCGTTTTCTCTCCCTGGCGCCAGCATCTTCTGTCTGGGCACCCGACTGACAGCTTGAAGGTTCACAGTTGGGTGCCCGCTGCGCATGCACGAGAAGTGCTGTGTTTTGTTTATTGCCCCGTAGTCTTCTGGGACCAGTCACGTGTCCCAGAAGACTATGGGGAGGGAGGGGGGTGGAGGACAACTTCCGCTTCTGATCGCCTAGACGATTGCAGTGGAAGTGGTAACCTGTCAAATTCAGGTCCCCGCTCCCCCCCACTCCCAAAAGGTGCCAATCCTTAATTGGAAGTGGGGGACAAAGGCTTAAAGCGGAACTTCCCCTTTTGGGTGGAGCTCCGATTTAACTGGGGTCACCCTCTCCCTGGCCCCTAGAAACCTCAACCAGGGGCCCTGATGCGAGCCTCCGATCCAAAAAGACTGACAAGGCCACCACATGCACCTTTAGGGTGCTTACTGATATACCTTTATCCACTCCTGCTTGGAAAAAGTCTAGGATCACTAGAACCGTGGGAAGGGAAACCCTTTTCTGGCACCAACTGGAAAACACACTTCACACCTTGGCGTATATTTTTCTAGTGACCAGTTTCCTCCTGAGGAGAAAAGTGCCTATCACTCTCTCAGAACACCCCCTCTTTCTAAGCATCTCCCTTTCAAGAGCCAAGCTGTTCCGGATTGGGGAGCAGAGTTGGCCTCTGTAAGAGAAGATCCCTTCTGACTGGGAGTACCAGGGCCCACCTCTTTAAGGTGGCGAACCAGGCTCTTCTTGGCCACCATGGGGCCAGCAAGATCAATCTGCAGTCTGATCTGCCCAGTTTCTGAAGTATCCGCGGGATCAATGGCACAGGGGAAAATGCATATGCCAATTTGAAATTTTATTTCTGTGCTAATACATCCAGGCCTTTGGATCCCTGCTCCCGCGCCAAGGAGAAATACCATCTCACCTTCCTGTCTTTCCTGCAGGCAAAAAGGTCTATCTCCAGGCTGCCAAAGACCTGACTTATATGATAAAAGACCTCGGGATTGAACTCCCACTCTCCTTGGTGAACTGTCGGCTGAGAAAATCTGCTTTCGTGTTGACCAACCCCTTTATGTGGACCGCCGACACTGAAAGAACTCTGCTCTCTGCCCATCCTAGAAACTCCTGAGCTAGGTCCAGAAGATTCCAGGATCTGGTGCCACCTGATGATTCAGGTATGCCACTGTCGACATATTGTCTAACAGATTTTGGACTTCTTTTCCTTCGATCCTGTCTGCAAAGGCCTTTAAGGCCTGACCTACTGCCAACAGCTCTCTACAACTGGAGGAGGTCCCCACGGACCCAGAACTCTCATGATGTGCCTCCAGGAGCAATCTGAAACCACTAGCAATGTGAAGACTATACTCACTATCTTTTGGTCTTTTCTTGTGAGTAAAAAGAGTTTCTGGACTCTGGAGTCCACTACGTACCGCAGGAACACCTTAGTTTGGGAGGGAGTCAATGAGGACTTCTGTCAATTAACAATCCACCCCAAAGATTCCAAGGTGAGGAACACCTTTTCCAGGTCTCTCAGGACTTGGTGCCGTGAGACTCCGTAGATCACCTGAAGGTGTAAATAGGCTGCCACCTCAGCCAAGGCCTTGGTAAATATTCTTGGACTGGCCGCTAGTCCAAAATGGAGGGCACTGAACTGCCAGTGACTGACCCCCTGCTCCATGAAAAATGGCTAAGTGTAAGAAGGCTTGGTATTCCAGGTTGATGGGAACATAGAAGTAGGTGTCCCTGAGATGCAGTGGCCATAAAGACTCCCTTGAGCAGATGTTTCCGTATACTATAGATACTTTCCATACGGACTTCTTGTACCACAGGTAACTGTTAAACCTTCTTAGGTTTATGATCAAGCGGAATTTCCCTGAAGGCTTCAAGACCACAAAAATGTGGGAATAGCATTCCTGAAAAAGCTGGTCCGTTGGCACAGGAACAATTACCTCCTGACCTGCAAAATCCGATTCCTCCCTAGAGACCCTCTGCCTTTGCACTGTCTCTGGGGGGATAAGTCAGCACAAGTGGTATGAGGGGAGGAGCAAGGAGAATTCCAACTGGAACCCCTCCCCTATCAACTGCAGGATGTACGGGCTCTCTGTAATCTTCCCCCATTGCTGAAGGAATCTGGACAGTCTTCTGCCCACCCTAAGATCTATGTCCTTACTGGTGGGTTTGGAGCCAGAAAAAAAGGAAGCTTCCTTTCGGTCTCCTTTGTTGGCCCATTTCTTGGGGGAGTCCTTCCTAAACCTTTGTTGGCCCTGATTAAGAGGGGCATGAAAAAACTTCTTCCCCTTATCCTTCTTGGCCTTGATAGGGAACTTCTTCCTCTTTTCGGCTGACCTAGATAAACACTTGGTCCAGCCCTGGGCCAAACAAAAAGGAACCCTCAAAGGGTAAACCACAGAGATAGGCTCTTGACGTCTGATCGCCTTTCCAGGTTTTAACCCATACTACCCTCCGGGCTGAGAGAAGTCTTAACTGATGTTCTGACCATCTCCACCACAGCGTCTGCTAGGTAGGCTACAGCCTTACCAACTGCCTCCAGGGAATCCAAACACCTCTTCTGACTGGGCTTCCCCGTTTTTCATTGTACCCCGAAAGACATGGTCAATTATTCTATGCATCTGAGCATCAGCATTTCTAGCAATGCAGGCGAATGCCAGGGCTGGGGCCATAGTAGCGGTATTGGCATCCCAGGCTCTACGCAACTGTGTCTCAAACCTCTGGTCCATCTGATCTCTGATGTTACCCGAGACCTCAAAAGGATAAGTCAGACTTTTTAGATACTTGTGATAATGCTGCATCTAATTTGGAATGACAAAAAAATCCTTAAAAAACGCAGAGGTTTCTTTCCCTGACATCTTGTGGAAATATTTGCTGCAAAAGGGTCTTTAGGCATCTTGTGGGCACTCTCCTGGGGAGTTCCGCACGGCTCCAAGGAGAGATATACAGGGGCCCGGGTTAACATGTTTCCTTTCCCCAAGTACACCTTTAGGGAAGTGGGTAAGGTCTCTACCCCCTCCTCTCCCCAATCAGCTCGTGGTCTTCTCGCTGGCTGCAGTCACTGCCTAGCTTTCCATCTTGGTAGGGCCCTTCGGGACTGCGTCACCGTCCCAGGGGTAACTCCTGGAGGCGCCTCATTAGGTAGAAAAAATACTGACTGGAGCCACCATCTTTACGTGGAAATCCCACCCTCGCCGGAAGTCCTATTGGGAGCGAGGCTTAGTCCGCAGCCCCGCTCCCACATCCGGTCCTGCACCCTGGGCTCTTTTCTGGAGGAACCAGTAACTGACTCCACTGTGGCCACCCCGCTCACCCTACAGGGGCGCGCCGAGCAACTCCACATGTAGGCCGTACCCATACCAGTGAGAAGCCGTCTCGTAGCCCAGTCCTCTCCTTTACATGCCTCCCCACTGTCCTGGAAGAGGGAGGAAGGGCGCCCGTCCCTCGAATGCCAGGTACACATTTCCTGTGCTTAGGAAGCTCCACAGGAGTGGGACCCCTGGAGTGAGTGAGATACAGCCTGCCCTCCCTGGCTCAGCTATTTACCCCCCAAGGGGGACCTCCGACCCCAGGCCTTAAGTACACAAAATAAACATTTCGCTGCTAGGGAAACACAATCAAAAACTGGAGTGGAGGGAAGGGCAGGGAATTTAAACTCTGTCAATTGTTGATTGTGTTTCCTGTCAAGTGGAGCTAGTCATCTCTCAGGTGTGCAATCCTGGAAGATGTCTAGAGAAAAAAATGTTTTCTATACTGTAGTATCTATGTCTTCAGTACCATGTGCAGATATTTATACCTTTATCCCCCAGCTAATTATTCTCCTTACCACAGCATAACCGGGGAGGCCTGAACAAGGGGAAAATACTTTGCTCCAATTAGGGTAAATTGAGTGAATTTACCAATATTCTTTCTGCCTTCCTCTGGATCAACTGTGGGTATAGGATTGTGTATATGGAGGTTTTCTATTTGTTTTATATTTTTCCTGTTGTTTGAACTAGATGGACTCTGGTGATAGTCTTTTTTTAACCTATGTAAAAATTGATTTTGGTGCAAAAAGACCAGTTTCACGGTTAATGACAATTTGTGAACAGAACTGTATTGAATTATTTTTCAAGAATCTGTATGATGTCCTAAACCCACACTTAAGAATCAGACCATCATAGGTTTGCAGTGGGCTCAGAGAGGACAGAGCTTGACGCACAGATAATAATGGCTTCTATACTCTCCCCAAAGTCAGATTGAGGGATACTGAGATGAGATGAGGAAACTGGTAATTACAGTGTTTTATCCAGCAGATAATCTAGGTGCAGGGGATGTAGGCTAGGATGAAATATTAAGTTATTCTGTAAACTGTGCTGTTTTTAAGCAATACCATGTTTGATTGGAGTATACTTCTCATAAAATGTTACAGAAAGCTTAGTACACTAAAGTCATCACACTGATGATTTAGAGAACAGATCGTAAAGGATTTTAATAATAAAACTTGGCTGTGCAAAAATATACTAAACCAAATATGATCTCACATTTGCTTTCAGCATTTAAAAAGTCTTTCATATCCAACATTAATCCTCCAGGTTGCAGTGCATTTTGTAAACATAGCATGAAAAGTTGTGGTTGGGCCTTTCCTTTATGTGTATTACTGTGTCATGATCAAACACTAAGTCGTGGCTGTGAGTCTGAAAGAGAAAAAAAAAAAAAAATTAGACAACAAGACCTGTCACTAGTCTAATCCAGGCTCTATACAGAAGAGGAAAACAAAAATAGTATAAATTAGAACTGATCTAAGCAGACTATAAATAACTTCCATCCCTCTATGTACTATCCTGAAGCCCTCATTCACACTGCTGAAGCCCGTCATCAAGCAATCGCACATATCCTTGTTTTTTCGCACATTGTTACGCTTTACCAATAAGGCAGCCCATTCATTTTAATGGGCTGCCCTATACATGACAAAGAAGCTCATGAACCTTTTTGCGTTTTCCAATCATGCATTTGTTGCACATGCAAAAATGCGCTTCCTTCTCGGTGGGTTTGGGGTGCAATTAACAATGAATTGCACTGCAAGTGCGACACTCGTTTTTCGCATATTTTGTGAACGCACATAAAACTGCACAATTTTTGCTGCATTTAGAGCTACATTAGTGTGAATGTGTGCTAAAGCTGAATTCAAGACAAAACAGCTAATTACTTATTTAAAATACATATAAGGAGGCAGTAGTACATATCAAAGGATTTGTATTGCTTTCCATCCAGTCATAGTATTAAAGGCGAACCATGGTCACAGCATACACTTTCCTTTTTAACATCAGAATTGTAACAATACAAACAAGTTATTTTTGGCAATCCAATATAATCTTACTTGAAAAATCTCTTCATTTTGTGGGTGCTGCCTATCTCTTTTCACAAGCTCCTGGATTCCTTGCTTATGGTTTACTTTCAATTTTTAATGACTACATATACCATGTGATATTGCTACCAGGCTTTTCCTGCACTGTACTGCACCTCCAGTTTACTATCCAGTTTTTCCCCAAACGACCAGTGCCACCAGCTATAGCCAGCAAAACTAATCATTGTATTCTGAAGTCAGAATGCGATACCACAGCTGGAAGCGTACCCCCATCCACATCGAATGTGTGGATGGGGGGGGGGGGGGGAGATCTGATCATTTTTTCTTTCAACCTGCTGGTTGAATGGGAAAAAAAATTAAAAAAAATCAATGTATGGGGCCCTTTCCTTCTTTTAGACAGTGAAAAGAGAAGCAGCACACCGATAAGCCCATCGCTCTGTCACTTTGCTCTCTCCTCCTATCGTGCATTCATTTCTCATCCTAGGCTCAGGTTTTTGACAGCTCTATATACGAAATTTAAATAGTAATATTAAGTATAATAACGTTTCAAAAACTTTACTTTTTCTGTGTGTGTATATATGAGAAATGAGCATATTTGCTCATTGTGTAAGCACTCTATCTTTGCTTAGGCTGTAACTGTAAAGGTGGAGCTTATGGCAGCACTCTATTTCTATGGCAAGAGAGAAGTAACTTGTTTCCCCAAATTAGGATGTGATCTAAGTAATGTTTACATGTCCCCTACTGCTTCATGTTTGAAGATTTATATTTTTAATCACAGGTTCCCTGCAAGTTGTGGTGGTTTATGTAAGAATTTATTCTAAATACGTACGTAGGGCGGTGTCCTCTCCCTTAAAACAAAATATTGCAGTGCCTCCAGCCGTTAAAATACGGCAAATATTTAAGAAACCAATAATTTGGACACCTTAATAAATTTGATCACCACTTAATAATTTACCTTGAGTTCTTTCACCAATATGATTTTGTACCATATACACAAAATTTGCCTTTTTGATAAATAAATGTATTTATGTACAAAATTTATATATATATTAATACAAATGCAAAATACTGGTGATGAATATATATTCTTTCACACAAACAAAGATATAATATGTTAATATCTATATGAGATCATATAATATATGATTTTCAAATAAAAGAAAACAAAATTTTGGGAGGTTAGTAGCAACCTATAGTGCTTCAGATATTATTTCTCATTTCTCGTGGCCATAGGGAAATAAGAAAATGTCTCTGATAATATACATTATATACAATATAATGTTATAAATCTTAGAATGTTTAATATGTCAAAGAAAATTACAATATTCTATATTCTAGTACAGTCTGACCACTCCCAGAAGCTTGATTTTGAGGCCTTCCCAGTGGGATGCAGTGGGGAAAAGAAGTATTTCTGTGCAGTCAGGCACCAGAATTTAACTGAACATCAGCTTCTCTGGTGGAAATCTTTTCCTTCAAAATGGCAGCTGGACGTTCTCATCAAAATGGCCGCAGGTGGCAAGTGAGGTATAGTGCAGTGTGGTAGTAGAATAGTAAAGAAGTAGTTTCAGGAGTAGTTCAGAAGTGATCAAGAAGATTAGAGTTTTCAGAAGACTGTAGAAGATTGGAAGATTGCAGATGATGGATTGTAGATTTTAGAAGGAATCCTCTCACTTTGAGGTGTCTGGCCTTTTAAACCATACAAGTCCTTTGTTCTGAGGGACCGCCCAACAGACTTGGACGGTTGAACAGTTTGCGTACCTATAGATGTTCCTAACCTGTCCACTGGGGACAGTCAGGTATTACAAATGAATTGGTGGTCTTAATGATGACTCACTCTTTGATATCAACAGTATGTCCTTATGGATCAAATATATGTCCTATTCAAGTATAGATGATTTCACTACTAACGCTTGGATAAGGACCATAGAAAGATGTGAATACATTTGGTTTCTCATTTTTCTGATATATGAACTGTAGTGGAATGGTTGATTTCCTTTGGAAATATAGAAATTACCCAATTCACAAACCATCTTATATTTTTCATCACTTCAAACTTCAGTTGAGTGGTATGCAATACCCAACTTTGTTAAATAGATTTTTCCTTGATGGACAAGTGTTGGTAATACACTTTTGATATTTCAGTTCATGTATCCCAAACTCTTTATTTTAAATGACCCAGGTTTCACCCTATACTGCATATACAGTTCAAGATGTGACATAGGAAATTTCATCCATTGTTGGGTAATTAGGGTAAACAGACTGGACTGGAGTTAAACCTCAGTATTCAATAGTCTATTGTGACAGCTCAAGAAGTTTGTTTGGTAATCACACACTTCCCAAGGTTTTTGTGAGAGATAAGACAATGAGGATTTCCTCTCACCATTGTCACTTTGGGTTCAGGTGTATGCTCACCTGCAGACATCCAAATAGTGGTGTTTGAATCTCATTGTCTCTTAGACCAGTTTCTTCCACTCATTGTGTGTGTGGTAACTTCTTGGAATATCACTTGAAATTCAACCTAGAATGTTAACCCCTCACAGTCAGCTTAGAATCTCCTATTTGGGATAATATCATTTTTTCTTAATAGTCCAAAAGTCATCACAAAGCTGAAATCCAGGCAGATACAGAAAAAAGTTACCTGTTCTGCTCTTAGAACTATTGTATGAATAAATAATATATAACCATCTGATTTAAATAGAGGATTTTATACCATGTAATCACTTTCTGTTGTCAAATGGGTACAGGCTGCATAAATATAAAAACATAATTGTATTAAAAATGTTAGGAGACTGATCCAGATAGATATATAAAATTGATTGGATTTATTTCCAAAAAAAAAAAAAAGAGAAAGAAGGAGCATGAAAGGCAATATGTACAGGTGTGACAGCGATATAGAACAGAATAAAAAGTAGTGAGAAATACTGAAGGGAAAAAAAACAAAATGAGATGAAAATGAGATCAATATGTAGAGGAAGATTGTTGAGCAGGTGAATTGGTTACTGGTCAAACTAGTACAGAGTAAAAGGAAGGTGAATGACAAATTCGGGACTGGAAGAGACCAAAATAGATGACCATGCAGCAACAATATAATTGCTGATCACAACTTACACAAGTTCACTAAGAAGCAGGCATTACATGAGGCTCACTCTCAGAAAGGGATGCAAGAGTGATAGGCAATAATTCAGTGCATGTAAAATGCCTAAAGGTATAATAGGGAGAGAAGGAAAGCACACTACAATTCAGCATAGACAATTTCAGAGCAGATGAGAATATATGCTGAAGACTGAAGAAGAGACACTGGGAGCACATGGGGACACTCAATGAGCAGGGAATAGAATATAACTCCGTTTTCAGATGTGCAAAGGTTCTCACTGCATTGAGCAAGCTTTACTCTAGGACACCAGTGAGCTACCCTTCAGTTCTCTGTTAGAATCCATAGACACTAAAGTTTATCAACAGGAACTGTGCCTGGTGGAAGAGGTGCAAAGCAGGAGCAGTGAAGAACAGTGTGTCATCAGCACAGGCTGATTTAGTCATGGTCTGCGTGAGGTAAGAGTGGTGCCAGAGGACAGAACTAGCTCACGGGCAAAATGCAGCAGAAAATTAAAGGCAAGAGTCCCATTCAGCAAGCTTAGCAAAGCTAAACGCCTACATAACACGTAAGGACACAATCTGCTGCCACATGAAAAATCCCAATGAACCTTCTCTCTGGCATCCACCTGAACCACAGCCTGCTACAGTGCAACAATATCAGGATACAAAATGAAAAAGCTTCAGTATAGAGGATCTCCAGAATCCAGTGAGTGTTTATTGGTATCAAATATTACACAGCAGTCATCTCAGAAGGGCCGTATCATATTTTCTACTAATGTGTTTACTCATAAGGCATTGAATAAACACATCAGTGCAGAATACCTTAACCTCTTCATGCTGACGTCACACAAATATGCGGCATTACAGAACTGGGCTTTTTTCCATGGAGCCGCATAATTGCATACCTGCACAGCGCGCTCCCAGCACAAAGACTGGGATGTCACTGGGAGTCCCGGGTCCCGTTCTAATGATCGGGACCCGGGACTCCTGATTCCGGGTCACATGATCACTATGATAGCCTCTGATTGGCTATCACAGTGGTCAGTCACTGTACAGCCCAGCCCCCTTTTTTTTTTTTCTCTATGAATGGAGGAGAGATACATTGTATCTCTGCAACTCCTGGCGTAAAAGGGGAAAAAAAAAGTTTGTTAAAAAAAATAAATATTAAAAAATAAAGAAAAAAAATACCTAGATCGAGGTTTGATCTAGTTCAGTGCCAGGGTAAGTGTTTAGGTCAAGGTCAGGGTCAGGATTTTTTTTTTTTTAATTGGTATCAGTGTCAGTATGTTTTAGGTAAAAGAAAACAACAAAAAAACAAAATGCGAACTATTGCTTCTTGACTGTACTACAGGTACAAATAAACAACAAATAACATATACATAAATGGTATTGCTGCAATCGTCAAGAGCTGAAAAACTTATTTTGGGTTATTCTTTGGTAGTAGGTTATGGTAGTAACAAGAAACACATGGCTACATTAAAAAAAAAGATTTTTTTTTTTACTACCGTATTTTGAGCCAGTTTTCCTTTGGTAATAAAAAAGAAAAAAAAAAAAAATCAGGAAATATCCATTACCATTTACCACCAAATGAAAGCTCAATTTGTCCTGAAAAAAAAAAAGATATAATTCACCTGGATGTACAAAGTAGTTGTAATGATATGTATGGTTTTACTAATACATGTCAACGTTGCAAAATACTGCTTAGGCTTTAAGATTTGTTTTACCCTTAGTTGTGAAGGGGTTAAAGCGCTTCTATGATGACAACTGTGTTATATTTTATATCAATAAACACATGATTAATTTTGAGAATCCTCTGTTGTTCGAAAGTCCTTAATTTTGTGTCCTAAAACTAAAGTTGAGCTCTGACCGTAGTGTTAAATCCACCCTCTAGTGATAACCACTAATAAAGCTCCGACTGGAAAATAGATGGTATGAACAGGTCAGAGCATAACAAAAGTTCAGTAGTATACAGAAGTATGTAGATGCTTCCTAACTCACACCGTTTATAGCAATACAGAATGACAGAAAAAAAACATTGATGCAGATGTGTATCTTACCACATCCCAGGATTCCTGGAGTATGATCTTCTTCAGAACGCTGCCAGTTTCATTGCAGTGTAGATTAACATGTGCATTTCCTTCAGAGTCTATCTGGGTCACAGCCACCAACATTAGCAAGTCCAGCTCATCTTCATAGACTACAGCCTGGAATGTCTGGTGTGGCCAGGAACACAGACACAGGAAAAGGTTAACTGCATACCATGCTATGGGCCATCATGCATCTTTGAAGTCTCAAAATGTTTTGCTTTGTCCCTTGTGAGTTTTCATGTTTAATATGTAAATTTCTGAAAATATAATAGAATTACACTGACTGGCCAGGAACAAGTAGAAGGTAGATGGCTGCACACTCCAGAAGGATGTCAATACTTTATTGATGTGTATCAAAAATAGCAAACTAAAAACATGACAGCACAAAGAGCACAAGGAGATTAGATTAATGTGTCAACATCTAATCTCCTTGTGCGGTCATAGTTTTATTTTACTATTTTTGATACATATCAATAAAGTACTGCCATCCTTCTGGAGTGCACAGCCATTTACCTCCTTATTCCTGCTAATCTCGGAGACACGCATCTCTGCTCCTGGATGTAAGAATTGGGACTTTTGCATACACACTATGAGGGGGGTACATCTTTTGTTGGTATATTGACTGGCCATTTTAGATAATATCAGTGATTTAACAAAATTTTCACCTAAGAGTCACTCAATCTTCTAACAAAATCTTTTGTGAAAATGGATAGAGTTTAGAGTGAAAAGTTGTGCAAATATTAGGTAACACATTGTGAAACAAACCCCTCAGTTATTTAAATTAATGAGGGAAAGAAGCTGCCTTTTTGTATTCACCTCTTCATGTATTGCTGATGTGTTGCTTGGTACTTGAAACAAGTACACTGTAGAAGTTACACTAGTCTCTGTTCTGGTCAGGGGAGCATAAAACTCTAAAATCCTTTTTAAACTCAATCACTTTTTGGTCAGATGAAGAAAAAGATAATGAACTTAACAGGATGTCTTTGGACTTTCAAAGAAACTAGGGCACCCAGAAGAAGCCCACACTAACAAAGAGTTATGGCCACTGTATGTACAAACAACTTGTTTAAAATCCTCTATTTAGGAGGTTTTCTTTTTCTTATATTTCTTTGAATACTTCAGTTGACTGACACCTCTCTGGTCCAGTGGCTGAGAATATGCTGTAACTCAGTGCATCTCCTTATACTTTTGAGGTTCAACCTCCTCCAGTTTCACTTTTTGTTTTTCTCGATTACTGACAATGTTCTACTCTTTAAGAACATCATTTTCATGCTGTGGATCGGTTCAACTATTGCAACAATTTACTCATCGGAATTCTCTGTCATTCTACTGTATTTTGGAACTTTACTTTGAGGCATGTTGCATACTCCGGCTTATAGTCAATTAGTTCTGTATGTCTATGCTATCCATTAATAAAAACCTTTGTAAAAGAAAATCCTCGATTTATGTAGAGTTAATTGCAGTAATATTTACCTCTTGTTCTGGGTCATCATCTAGCATCTCATAACGCCTTTTCACCAATCTCCCAGATGCAGTCACAGTAACCTTATTGTTCACCTTAAAAAAAAAATAAAAAAAATAGATAGTCTATGCTGAGATTACAGAGGGGGCCATTGCTAAACTTTCCTTTTGAAAATTCTAGCTGCCAGGCTGTTAGTCCGGAATTCCACTTTAATCCCTTTTTGGATTACCCTAACACTATCTATGCTTAAAAACGTTCCCTCCCATCTCCTTCTACCTATTCTGCCTACCCTACATAAAGGTTTACTTGCCTATTTTTAGTCCACTATATTTACTGATCCCCTGCATCAGTGAGGGTGGCTGCAGGGGAAATGAGGGAGCGCTCAACGACTAGGAATTCTGTGAGCAGAGACATCACCCACGGCCCCCATGTCCCAGATGTTGTCGGCACTCACTCCATTGCTCTGCAGTCGCCACTCACTAACACATGGAATTTTTGGGGTGTCAGGTTGCTGATTGCAAATCGGCTGCTCTCTGCAGCTCTGAACATCTATTTTTTTTTATTAATTGGGTATTTTTTACTAACCAGATTTTTACAAAGATACAAAGAAAAGTAAAACATACAAAAACTACATTAAGAAAAAAAAAATTAACAGGAACAGTACACTTCACATTGCAAATGCAAAATAGAGAATCAAGGCGGATATGCAGGAGAGGTACATAACACCATTTCTACCATATTGTGCAATACAGATGAGAAACTCATCAGTCATTAAAGAAAGGGAAAGACAGTATCCAAATAGACTATATCAGAAGTACTAAGGTTATTGTGCTAATTTCACCCTCCACCCCTATTTTATGCACACAACACATTAGTTCTACCTTTACGATCAACCATCCACCTCGTTGTCCTGAGAACCAGAGATGTGGGAGGTATTATTGGAATCCATAAAAGTGCAGCGCTTAAAGTGACACAATCATAGGAAAACCGGGAAAATGTTTCAAAAAATAGTCCATACAAAATTAATGGAAAAGCCCCAGAGGCTGTGATGAAACAATAGAAATCCAAGGACAGTTGTTGTGTCACCAACCACTCATACAGAAGGCTTACCAGAAAGGCATGACCCCCTGTTAAGAGTGGTCAATCACGCTTTGTTAAACAACCCAGAAAGCCGGTCACTTGAATCTTCCTCCAGATCACCAAAAGAGCAGAAAAAGATCTTCCAAACAATGGACCTTAATTAGGGTAGCTAAACCCCTCAGGATAAGGCTTGGACTTGTAGTGCGAAACATGCAAGAAAAGAGTGTGCCACATAGTGTAAAACCATAATCACAACATTTATTTAAAGTACGGTTACACTCACATATGAGCAAACATCATTAGGCATTGATTGGCAAAAAAATCCAAACTTTGCAGTTTCCAAAATGGCCACTGGCCATTCACGCATGCACAGTAGCATGTGTACGTGGCTCCGCCCTACGCGTTTCATCACAGGTGACGTCATCATGTCCAAGGGCATAACTATATCGGATTGGCATTTTTCACTGTTTTCCTATGATTATTTGTCACTTTAAGCGCTGCACTTTTATGTATTTATTGTTTATTGCCTAGTATCAGGGTTTTTGTGTTCAGCTGTTATTATACACCAAATAAAGAGACAATGTCCACATTAAATGCATTTCGTCAGGTAGTACACCCTCTTCAATAATACGCAATAGGGCTAGTTTGGGGTCAAAGAGTACCTGAGTGGAGCACAAGGAGTTCAAGGTATCAAAAATAGATTTCCAATAACGGTGTAATTTTGGGCACAACATATGTATAAGTGTTCCTGTGACTATGGCACATCTAGGACACAGTGGGGATAATGATCTTCCCCAGGAGTAGAGTTTCAATGGAGAATAATGTACTCTATGTAGTATGAACAATTGAGCTAGGCTTTGTGAAGGGGATAGAGAGACTTTTGGTAAAATTTTCAGGGCCTGGATTCATTCCTCATCATCAAATGATACCATGTCCTGTTGCTAAGTGCTGAAGCCATTCACCTGAGTCCTGGCATTGACAGCTGTCTAGAGGGCGGAATATATGTGCCCTATCCACCCGTTTAGTACAGGCTGTGGAGATTGCCATAGATAATACTGTAGAGGGGTTACAGTTAAACTGAAACGTGGACCCTTGACTGTGCAGCACATGGCGCAGTTGCAGATATTGAAAAAAACATTTGTGGGAAAGCTGATAGCGGATAGCAATGATATCAAATGGTAACAACACACCACTCATTAATTTGATAAAGAAAAGAAACTGAATACCAGCCCTTTTCCAATTATCAAATACCTTCAGCTTTTCCAATTCTGGTAAACAAGGGTTATGCCACAGCGGTATGTGTTTAGTATAGCCGATATGTCCAGTAATATCCTGTACCATGGGCCACAATTTATGTACCAGGTGAAACGTTGGATAAGTACGCTTTACTTGAAAATGGTGAGCCAATACCAGCTGTACAAGTGGAGCTATAGGAAGCTGTGACAGAATAATACCCTGTATGGGATCATGTAAATTTACTTTACTCCAGCCATACCGATGTTGTAGCTGGGAGGCTACAAAATAGAGTCTAGTGTTAGGTATTGCCAATCCTCCCCCATGCTTTGGGAGCTGTAATGTAGAAAGTTTAATTCTAGGATGATGATACTTCCAAATAAGAGAGTCAATGGTGTCAATTTTCACCAAGTTGGCTTTTCCTATAACAGTAAGGGGCAATTTAATCCAGATTTTACCCACGTGTTTAAATCTTGCACAAAGAGAGGTCAAGTTCCTATAACATATCATTGAGTTCTGGCGTAACCACAACACCTAAATATTTAAAAGATGTCACTATGGCTATTTGAGCTGCAATGGGTGAAACGTCGTTTGGAACAGGGTCAAATGGTAATAAAACCGACTTGTCCCAGTTAATGGTGAAACCCAAATGTATTAATTAGGGACATAACCGCCTCCAATGAGGAGGAAGAGGTGTAACCCAAAAATAATCAGGTGTCATTAGCGTACAGGACCAATTTGTCTTCACCTGTACATCTACAAAAGCCAACAATATCATGTGATTGGCGAATAGCAGCTGCCAGAGATTCCAGCACCTGGGTGAATAGAAGATGCAATGGGAAGGGGTCAGAAAACATGCCTGTTGAACTGTACCCTGGCCACTAGAGCTGCATAAAGAAGCTGCACACAGCGAAGAAAACGAGGCCCAACTCCAAAACGCTGCAGACACTGCCATAAAAAATCCCATTCGACATTATCAAAAGCTTTAGCTGCATCAAGCAACAATACAGCTCTATTACCAGTATTAATAGTTGGGACTTGTATGTTAAGAAATAGACGTCTAATGTTGATAGTTGTGAACCTATTTGGGATGAATCCTGATTGGTCCAGATGGAATATTTTAGCAATATGTTTCGAAAGCCTGGTGACCAATACTTTTGAAAGAAGCTTGACATCTGAGGTAAGTAAAGATATTAGGCAATAAGATTCTGGGCTACGCAGGTTCTTTCAACAAAACTATAACAGCAGCCTCTGTCATGGAAGATGGAAGAGATCCCCTGTCAAAATCGTCATTAAAGATCTCCAGTAGTTCTAGTAAAAGTAAATCCCCATAATTTTTGTACACCTCACCGGGCAAACCATCTGCTCCAGGAGCTTTGTTATTGGGGACACAAGCTGCAGCCGTCTGTAATTCTTCCAGCGTTAATGGACTACCTAAGGCCTCTATCTGCTTCTGACAGTACTGACATCTTAATACGATTAAGGAAGCCAGATAGGTCCTCAGAGTAAGAAACCTTACTATTGCATAAATCAAGATAGAAGTCACAAACAACTGTGGAGATTCCCTGAGTAGTAAATACCATGGTGTTTAAGGGTGTTTGAATTTCCAAAATATATCTTGACGGTCTTTGAGCCTTTACTATAGTAGCTAAGAGGTGGCCTGTATTTTCCCCCTACTCATAGTTAGGTTGTTGGAGAAAAAAGCTTTTCTGCTCCACCTCCGTAAGCTTGTTGCTTCTGCATCCATTCAAGTTTTGTCTGCAGTAGGGCTGGCAATATATTGTAACTCTGCCTGAGCTACTATAGCTGTTACTGACTTTTCCCACGCCCTGGATTGCTTTTTGATCAGAGATTTGTGGAATAAGGATCCCTCTCAAGTAAGCTTTTAGTAAGTCCCAATATACAGGGAATGCCACAGAGGATTTGTTAGCGGTAGTGTATACCGCTACGTCTATTAGTATATCTTCCGGGGAAGAAATTGGCGATAACCAAGAGGGGTTCACTTTCCAAAAGTAGCAGGGTGGTTCTAATTGTAATAATAATGTAAGAACTAGGGGAGAGCGATTAGAGAGACCCCTCTCTGCATAGGTTATATCTGAGATGAAGGGCGGAACCGAGGGCATATCCAATGCCAGGTCAATTCTGGACAGATTTCTATGTGTGTGAGAAAACCAAGAGAAATATTATTATTATACAGGATTTATATAGCGTCAACAGTTTGCTCAGTGCTTTACAATATAACGGACATAAGACAATACAGCAACAATACAGTTCAATACAAGAGGGATAGGAGGGCCCTGCTCCTTGGAGCTTACAATCTAGGAGGGAGGGGCTAGTGGTACAAAAAGGTAGTAACTGTGGGAGATTGACTGGTTGGAAGAGTAGAAGATTCCATTATTAGCTGAGGGCAGGATAGGCTTCCCTGAAGAGATAGGTTTTCAGAGATCGCCTAAAAGTGAGCAGAGTAGGCGATAGTCTGATAAATTGGGGTAGAGAGTTCCAGAGGATGGGGAAAGGTCTGGAGAAGTCCTGGAGACGAGCATGGGAGGAGGAGACAAGGGAGCTAGAAAGTAGGTGGTCTTGCGAGGAGCGGAGAGTACGGTTTGGGTGATATTTAGAGACAAGATCAGTGATGTAATTTGGGGCAGAGTTATAAACGGCTTTATAACTTATTGTTAATGTTTTGAATTTTATCCATTGGGCAATGGGAAGCCAGTGGAGGGATTGGCAGACAGGGGTGGCATATACAGAACAGTTAGTAAGGTGGATGAGTCTGGCAGCAGCATTCATGATAGACTGAAAAGGGGATAGCCTGCAATTAGGTAGGCCAATGAGGAGGGAGTTACAATAGTCAAGGCGAGATATAACAAGGGAGTGAATAAGTTGCTTTGTGGTTTCCGAGGTTAGGAACGGGCGTATCTTGGAGATGTTGCGGAGGTGAAGTCTACAAGAATTGGACAATGATTGGATTTGGGGCTGAAAGGACAGATGGGAGTCCAGAATTACACCTAGTACCCTGGCATGAGGGGAGGGACTGATGATTGTGTTATTGATCTTAAAGGAGAAGTCAGGGGAGGAGGCACGGGCTGGGGGGGGATACTAAGAGCTCAGTTTTGGAAAGATTGAGTTTGAGGAAGTGGAGTGACATCCATGCCGATATGTCACTTAGTAGGTTAGTAATGCGAGAGGAGACTAAAGGGGTGAGGTGAGGGGTAGAAAGATAGATTTGTGTGTCATCAGCATAGAGATGGTAATTAAAGTCATGGGAGTTTATCAAGTACCAAGGGAGGAGGTGTAGATGGAGAAGAGAAGGGGTCCAAGGACAGAACCTTGAGGGACCCCTACAGAAAGAGGGAGTGAAGAGGAGGAGGCAGCATTATAGGGAACGCTGAAGGAGCGCTGCGATAGGTAGGAGGAGAACCAGGAGAGAGCAGAGTCTCTGAGGCCAAGAGTGGAGTTTTTTGAGGAGGAGGGGATGGTCAACCGTATCAAAAGCCGCAGAGAGGTCAAGTAGTAAGAGTACGGAGTAGTTGCCATTGGTTTTAGCTGTTAGTAGATCATTAGTGAGTTTTAGTAGGGCAGTTTCAGTGGAGTGTAGTGAGCGAAAGCCAGACTATAAAGGGTCAAGTAGGTTGTTGTCAGTGAGGTAGGAGCTCAGGCGAACGTAGACTAAGTGTTCTAGGAATTTCAGAGGTAAATGGCAGCAGGGAGATGGGTCTTAAGTTGTTCATGTTGGAGGGGTCCAGGGAGTGATGTGCGCATGCTTTAGAGGGGAGGGGAGGGCACCAGTAGAGAGGGAAAGATTGAAGATGCGAGTCTGGGAGCATAGGATGGAAGAAGAGGGTTGTAGTAGTTGTGCAGGGACAGGATCCAGGGGGCAGGTAGTGAGACAGGCTTCTTAAAAAACCTTAGTGACCTCTTCGGTAGTAGCAAGGTCAAAAGAGGAAAGTGTTGAGGGAGGTTTAGTATAAGGTATGCTAATGGGATGGATGTCTGTGCAGTGGCGATGCCCCTACGAATTGCATCAATCTTGTTTTTGAAATGATTTGCAATCCCGTGAGCAGTGAGTGAGGTACTGGGTGGAGGTGAAGAAAGTAGGGAGTTAAAATTAGAGAAGAGATGACGAGGACTCGATGACAAAGTAATAATAAGAGTGACAAAGTAGGCTTGTTTGGCAGCATGAAGGGAGGAATTGTATGTTAAGAAAGCAGATTTATATAGTTTAGAAAACATAGCCAGCCTCTTAGAGGGGTTGCTCAAGCCTCTAATATTCCAAGAAATCATAGAATTAGTTGTTGGACTCCTGTTGGAATTCATGAAAATCAAAAACAGGATTCCGTTCCATGAATAGGAAAAAAAACCCAAAAAACTATGGAGTTCCCCAATGCAGGACGCACACCACGGCCCAAATAACAAGAACAGCTTTCACCCAGACCCAGGCGATAACCTGAAACATAACTTGCCCATGGTTTAGACAGGGTAGAGCTACACCCCAAGAGGAAGGTGACAAGTACCAAATCCAGTTACTTTGTGATGCAGAAGCCTCATACAAGTACACAAAAAACTTTAAATTTACCTTTACCACATGTTCAACTCCTACACAAGGCAGATCACACTGGAAGGGTTTTAAGCAACAGAAATTTTGCTGTCAATCCAGAAAGTAGTGGGCAGGACTAGGTGAGGCCAGGTGCTGACAAGCTACAGGCTTATGAATCAGTGCTGCCAATGCGGATTGCCATCTCCACTACATTTTTTAATTCCACTGTAGTACGATCATACATGAGAGTGAAACCTCTGCTCAGTTCAGGAGTAGTGCAGCATTGCTGTCACACCATTACAGAAAACTGAATTAGCCAGACTTCGCTGGTAGAATCAACAGGTATATATGAAACTTTGACTAAAAAAAGTGCAGATGCCCTTACAAACTGTTGCAGCACATATTTTATCTTTAACAGAATGCCATAGTTTTACTTTAAAAGAAATATGGACAAAGCCCTTTTGGCCATACTTCTCTTGTTGGTTAGTCCACTGTTGGCTGACATCACGGAGCCACTCTAAATTATGGAGGGATCCCGACTATAAGGGGCAGAACAGAGAGTCACTGCTCTTTGCTTAGAGCAGACATGAGAACTGAGTGATCAGCAGTCACGTGTTTGCTCAGTTCTTGGGAAGGGAACAGCTGCAGCATTGAACCAATGTATGGTGTGAGAACTCGCATCAAGTGGTAGAGCTTTTTTTAAAGCACACAGCAACTCGCTTGCTTTTTAAGGGCCGTTTTAGCCCACTTTTATTTAAACGAAAGTTCAAGAACATACGTTTTCCATGCAGGGGTGTTCACCATCAAAACAAATGAAACCATTCAGCCTCCTGGATCTCTTTATCAGCCCTGCTGATTAGCTGTACCTCTGTTTAGCTGTACCTCTATTTATGTGGGTCACCCAGACCCCTGGTTAGTCCCAGCACACAGCGTTGGACTCCTTCCAAAATATTCTTCACACAGCTAGCAGCCCCTTGCTGCTCTGGCTCCCACCTCTCCTAGGTGGAGCCCTCCTGACTGCTGTCTGCCGGGGTGGAGCCCTCCTGACTGCTGTCTGCCGGGGTGGAGCCCTCCTGACTGCTGTCTGCCGGGGTGGAGAGCCCTCCTGACTCCTGTCTGCCGGGGTGGAGCCCTCCTGACTCCTGTCTGCCGGGGTGGAGCCCTCCTGACTCCTGTCTGCCGGGGTGGAGCCCTCCTGACTCCTGTCTGCCGGGGTGGAGCCCAGAATCATGGTTTGGGCCTCTACAAAAAGGCCTGCACACACCTGTGCAATCAGTGTGCTGGCTGCTCTCAAAACCTGGACCCAGGATTGGAGATTCCACCCTCCCAAATTTCTTAGAAATCTCCAGACCACAGGTCCCAAAACAGGCTTTACAAACCAAAGATGAAACTGATAAACCAGTTTCCTCTGCATTACGTGAACTGCCTGGTGCCCCTCAACCTGTATAGTCGAGAATCCGTGATTTCCATCACGGCAGGATACCGCACTGCCACAATGGGTTTTTTATTTTTTTAAGGTTCCCACACTTCTTTTATGTATACATTTAAAAAGGAAGGCCAGAAGCAGAACACAAAGAGGAGTGACAGAAAAAACGATCAGCAACTATATTTTAATAGACTGACTGCCTAACTTGCCAAAATTTGAAGACTGACTGGTTGCCCTGTATAACAGCACATTATTGTTCTTTGCACCATTAGTAAGTAAAAACCTAGCTCATATTGGTACAGCTACTATATACCACATTGTGCTTACCGTACGGTCACGCATGGCTAGAATGCTGAATTCTTCCATGACCCCATATTGGTATGAATCATTTTCCAGCTCCTTAAGCCGTAAAACACTACAGCAAAATACCAAGAAGCAAACATATAAAATTATGTAACACAAGGGCAGTATTCTATTTGGCAATAGCCAATTCTGAAAAAGAAAAGCAAAAAAAAAAAAAAGGGAATGGATTGTTACAGTGGACTGATCATGTATGGTTTAAGTATATATTTATATGGTGCTATATCTTGTGCAAATTATGTCAGAGTAAAGTCAAAAATATCCATATGCAAACTATTCCACAGGTTTGTTCAAATTCCAAACCACTTACACAATCTGTGAAATTCATAAAGAATATTGTCTGTCTCATGGTAGTGTGATAAAGGGTGCAAATTATGGCAGCATAAAGTACATGTTGGTAAATTGTACAAGAATCTGTTACAGAACTGTCTCAGACAAAATTTTGTGCAACACAATATACTCCAACATGGAAGTGGTCTTGATTATCTCCATATTTCTTATCACTGATCAGGCAGGATTTTTATTATGAATCTGTTGCAGCAATAGCAACAGACAGTAAAGCTGTTGCAAAAAAAACATGTTGCGCACATCAGTACCAACAATGAAAATGTTACACAGGTTTCATGAAAATGCTTCTGAATACATCCAGCCTGCCAGAAATATGTCGTAAATGCTTTACTGACTCACCCTCAATATTTTGTTTTCAAATTATATTATTGCTTAGTGCACCATTACATTACTGCATGGAGTTTCATCCGGCACTACGAAGACGGTAATAAGAGAGAACCAAGAATTCTAATGCATCCTACCTTGGCTGTTTTTAATCAACAACAGAACATGTCACATTTATTTAGTAATGGGGATCCTATTTTCTATCTAAAGGTTGTTAAAATACTTATCAGCAGATTTTTCAAAGAATGCCCTCATAATGAATTTTTATCGTGTTCTTTTCTACCCTACTTTTATGGAGAACTTCAGACATAACTTTTTTGGAGTGGGAAAAGTGGTAGAATCTATTTTTGCTAGATTTACTGTTTGTGTTCCCACTGCAGCCACTTTTCTCTCCTTTATTTCCTTTCCTATAGACATAACAGGAAGTGAGATAAATTCTCCCCAGAATGAATGAAAATCTTAAAAATTTAACTGAACAGGATTCCCTACTGGGAGATTTTTCCTCTACTACTGCTTTTCTTGTGCTTTTTCTTGCCCAAACTTGAGGGTGGATTAAACCATGGTATTATGTTTTACCTTTTGTTTACATTTGAATGATAGTTAGATTATCAAATCATGAACTGTTACAAAGATATATAGACAGGTTTTATATTTTTATGCAGTTACTATGTTATCTTGCTTGACATTTACCATGTCTTTTCAGGAAAGTGATTGCAGAGGAACTGCAGATGGTCACGTTATGAAATATGTACAGGGCTTAGATCAAAGGATGGAAACACTACATGATCTGCAGGTGTGAAAGTGACGACATGTTTTGTGTTGAAAGCGGAAGTGATGTAACATTCTTTTGCTTCTGCTGTGTGATGAGACACCTAGCTAACAGGTGAAGCCTCACTTTCGTCATTCGCTGCGTGCGCTGCTAGTAACACGGAGTCATGTCAGAGCTTACAGAGCTTCAAAGAGGGCAAATTGTTAGTGCCCGCTTAGCTGGTGCCTCTGTGACTGAAAGTTGCCACTTTATTTGCCGTGTTGCAAGGTCCATTTTCAAAGGTTATGACGGCATATACAGTTTCCGGGAAACAGGTATCGGATAAGCATAAGCACAGTTGACATGGTCAACTGACCAAAAGAGACAAAAAGGAGATTGCGCAGAATTGTGCAAATAAATGTACAGAGAGATTGTATAACAACCCGACAGAAAAATATTCAGTGTTCTAACCCTGGAAGATTCCAAACACCTTTCCTCACCTGATTTGATCCGGTCCAAATTGGATTATTCTTTCAGATGTATCTGGATGGAAGTTAATCCAGCCGGGTTCCAGTGAACAGTATTTCAGTTCACGTATGCCATTCTTTGCCTGCAGTAAATATACCACACATAGTAAGGTCAGAAAAAAAAAACAGGGGAAAAAAAACAAAACACTTGTTTAAAAAAAAAAAAGAGAGAATTTCAGGTAACAAGTGGAAGTATCAAGCTGTCTGTGTGTGAAAGGCAGACAGGAGGAGTATTCCAGCATCCCCGGCAGATGTTTTCCAGGATCACCACTTTACAGACAAAAAAAAAAAAAAGTGCGTGGACCGTAAAGTACATTAATGTCTGGACAATAAATCCATCTAATCAGCAGGAAGGCTTTACTTCTTTTTATGCTTCTCAAGGTTTCAATGTACCTTTTAATGACTAGTTCACTTTTAGTAAAAAAAAAAAAAAAAAAAAAAAAAAAAAAAAAAAAAAAAAAAAACTTTAATTAGACCACGCCCCTCGCCCCCTATCCTAAACTAATCTAGAAACCCCCAACCCTGCTTATTCCTTCTTCATCGCTTCCTGTTGCTATGCAGTGAGCCTCCAAAAACGTTAACGATTTGTACTGGTCTCTGTTGCGGCTAGTGCTCTGAAAGATTTAATTTAGACCATTATGTCTATATTCTATTTTTAATAAACACTTAACTGGAATAAAGAATGTTTTTCCTTTATTGGCCTTTATTTATGCTTTCAGGCAGTTACCTGGATCATCAGATTACTTTCCTATGTGCATAGTTATGTTAAGGTAATACGAGTGTGCATGATTATAAAATGATAGACTTAGGAAACCATCTGATGAATGGATTGCATATCCAATCACCATTTAATGTAATTACCCAGCTTAGGAAAATGAACAAAGTCACACCAATTAAATTGTACTGCAATGTTTTTGAGGAGAACCTGTAATTAAAATAAGTGACTGTACCGGTTTTCATAAGAGAGTGTTAAAGTGATATTAAAAGGCAGATTTTTTTTTTTCTTTAAGAACAAACATGTTATGCTTGCCTGCTCTGTGCAATGTCCACAGCTGCACTCCTGCCCCCTTCCTCCTGCAGCAGAGCAGCTTACTATGGGGACACCTGAGCAGGCTCACTCCCTACACACTGTTCTGTGTGTATTCACACACTAGCGTAGTTCGTCTCCAGCCCGCCCCCCCCCCCCCCCCCCACTCTCCTCATTGGCTCACTGGCTGTGAATGATAGCAGCGGGAGCCAATGGCTTCTGCTGCTTTCTCAGCCAGTGAGGAGGAAGAGTCCCCAGAGAGCCGCTGCTCTCGTGAACATTGCTGGATTGAGATGCAGTTCAGGCAAGTATTACAGGGGCTGCTACACACAGAGGATCTTATAAGCCTCATGCATAGAATTGAGCCTATACAACCACTTTAAAATCAGCAACCCTCTACTCACATGACCAATGATGAGGTATAAGTCACTGTGAAAGATTGCGAAAGACTAGATTTAAAGAATGTTCTGGAGAGGCTCCTGACTGTCTAGCTCTGCCTAAACATTGGTCCCCCAAGATCATCTAGAACAAACCATACAGTCAATGCGTCACCACTGGCCATATGACTGGGTGCCACATGGATTCAAAAGAACACGTATTAAGAAATGGAACTGGTTAGAGCATATTTTACGAAACAAAATAAGCAGGTATTCAATTTGCGAGGTAGGTCTGCTTTAACATCAGACTAAAAATGTTAATACAATTGACCTGGCAAGAAACATGTTAGCATTGCCATCATAACTGGCACTATTGCTTGAATTAACAAGCTAAAGCTAGTTGAGTTGAAGAACATGAGATAACTAGTAATGATAATAATAATAAAATAATGTAAACTTATGCTATAAGTGAGTGCTACTAGTGGCACAGAAATAGTGAAGTGATGATTGCGTCTTAGAGTGACGCATCAATGTAATACAAGCCAAATGTTATGGTGACAATGGTGGTAAGTCCAATCTAGAAATATAGCAGTCCATGGTGGTAAGTCCAATCTAGAAATATAGCAGTCCATGGTGGTAAATCCAATCTAGAAATATAGCAGTCCATGGTGGTAAGTCCAATCTAGAAATATAGCAGTCCATGGTGGTAAGTCCAATCTAGAGATATAGGAGTCCTATTTCTAGATTTGACTTACTACCATGGTCACCATAACATTTGGCTTGTATTACATTGATGCGTCACTCTAAGACGCAATCATCACTTCACTATTTCTGCGCCACCAGTAGCGCTCACTTATAGCATAAGTTTACATTATTTTATTATCATTACTAGTTATCTCATGTTCTTCAGTGCTGCATATTTATTTTTCTGTTTGTCATTTTAAGGTGTTGAGGTTTTACCTTTCATATGCTAGCTGCTTTTTTTTTTATATATTTCTGCGCTCGCAATCACTACCATTACACTAGTTGAGTTGATATGGTGAACAACAATAAGCAGTAAACCTATAGTAGCTAATTAAATCGCACTGGTAAGCTGAACTATTAAATGTATTATTGTAAATACAAGCAGAGTAAGTTCCTGAATTTAATCTGGTATCAGTCTCTCATAAACCCTGTAAAACAGAGCTGGTGTGTAAAAGGAACAAACACAAGGAGCCAATCAGTTTATGTGCTGACAAGATGCATGCTGATAGGGGGAGAAAGACTGATAGAAAGAGCCCCTCACTATGCCGCTTTTTTCACTGTTCAGAAACAGGCTTGGATTGGTCCAGGACAACTTGGGCACAAAGGAAAGGAGTTGCAAGATGGTGATCATCAAAATAAATTTTATTTATTTTTATTTTTTTGCAGGGATTGAAAGGTGAATACACATTTATTGTGTATTCTATGTAAACACAGATTAATGTGAATACACAAAACTTGATAAACTTAGTAACAAATATTAAACTTACAAAAATAAATACTGCATTTGTACGGAGTTGCCTTTTTCCATATGAAATGAACATTTTACTATTGAAAGGTATTAATTCTCATGAGTAGCTATTGAGGGTGTCGCCTCCTGATATAGCCACCCTCTTTAGCATTAATCAAATCCTGGCTCAAACATTGCTATTCACGTCCTTCTCTGCTGCTCCTTGCCACCCACTCCCAGGCAGAATGACAGCCAGCATCATTGGAGTGCTTCTTGTAAACCCAAGCGGTCATGGACACACCCTCTGGGGGTACATTATAACACTGGCCTAAGGTCACAGTACTGCTGCACCGAACAGCGTTCACACATTTCAAGGATCGCTCAGTGCTAAAGTAAAAACTACCTATCACTGGCACCAGAAGCTGACATTATTTTTAGGAATAAGTCAAAAACCTATAAAAAAAGGACAATTAAGCAGTAAATACAACATTTCCAAATTTAAAAACCTTTGGCAAGTTGGGAAAAAAAAACAACTTTGTTATATCCATTGGAGTGGTGCAAATAAAAATGTTGTTCTTGTCAGAAATTCAGAGCTATTCTGTGTCCTCTGCACACTTCCTGTGCCATCTCAAAGAGCCCTCCTAGTTCTTATCTTGGACTACAGATTGATTAGTGTTCATATTGTGTAGATCTGACACTTGGAAATGTGCATGCATTGCAGATATGTACTCTATATTTTTAACTGCTGAGAGAAAGCAAACCATAGGACAAATCGTAGAGATTATACTTGCTCAGTGATCCCTATGATTGAAAAAAAAAACAATCAATGTTACCGATTTCAAGCTTCACCTGCGAATTCAGAATTCTAGTGAACAAGCACTTCAGGCAGTCAAAGGCACTCTATTGTACAAGGAGATTGTTCACCTTCTGGGGTTCCAATCCTTCTTTTAAAAGGAAGGGATCAAAAGTTTTGTATGCAAGCTTCCATCACCACTGGACATAAATCACAACCTGTGAAAGCCCTGGAGACCTACCAAACCGTTTGAGGACAGGCAGATACCTCCTTGCTGGACATCCCATTTGAAACCCATAGGGGTTAATACAGAGATACCCCATTCACTTTCAGCTACACCAGCCTCCAAATGTGTGTTTCTGGAAACTTGTGTTCAGTTCAGGAGCATTTTTGAGGTCAGATGTTGAACAAAAAGACCCAACTCACAAATCAATCAATGTCACAAACCATCCCAAAGGTTTTAAAAAATTAATGTTGTAGACTACTTGAGTTCTTCCACACCAAACTTCTCAAACCATGTCTTTATGGACCTGGCTTGGTCACAGTCATGCTGGAACAGAGAAGGGCCTTCCCCACTTTTGCCACAAGGTTGGAAACTGTCTAAAATGTCTTTCTATCTTGTAGCATGAACAGTAACCTTTACTAGAAACGTCTGAACTCAGTAATTTAGAGGGGTGTCCACATAATGCATATAGGTAGGTGCGACGGCCAGGTGTCCACAAAATGTTTGGAATCATATCTACTCATCTATGGCCACCCAAATAAATTTTACATTTCTGCCAATAGACTAAAACCTGCTTATCGTCACAAATGACAGTAAAGGGGAACTGCATATAATCTATATTAAGACATTTCTATAAATGTAGAGAAATGCACAGAGAAATGTATTGAGAAGAGGGTTTTTTTTTTTCATACATTAAAATTAAACAAAAATAATAATAATAACGAATAGGAATACCAACAAATTCAGGCTCAAAGCATGGAATTGTTGGCCTTCTAGTATGGATTTCCATTTTTTTTTTTTTTTACACCAGCTATACCTCCAGTGTGACCTGGCCCTGTGCCAACAGCTTATGCATAGAACTCATATGAGTAGTCATTGCTTTCATTTGCCATAAACTGTACTAGAGCTTTGGTACAGAACAGGCCTGGTGAAGGCACAGACCATTGTTATTAGATCTGTGCACATACAGGGATCCTGATATAAGCATTCGGTTCAGGAACAGATCACGCTTGAGGCAGTATTGCTGTTGCTTAAAATGAAACCAAAGCAGAAGACTGATATTACCAATTCGTCAAATACTGATAACAGTGGTTAATAATAAAGTGCTTACAAGGTTGTGATCATCCATGGAGCGGATGTGATAGATTCCTTTCTGTGTTTTCTTGTTGGGTGTAATTATATAATGCAAGGGATAGCCACCCACTTGAAAAGCATTTTCTAGGCAAGGAACCTCAAAGAGAACTGGAGGTCTTTCTACAGGGGAAAAAAAAAAAAAAAAAAAAAAAAAAATCAAGCTTCATTTCATGACGTGACAGGATAAGAGAACAGTGATGTGCAGTAACCCAGAGCAGCCACACTGCAGCTTCAGTTATATAGTACAAAGGAGAGCCACTTTAGTTAAGATTCATATAATTTTTATTATTACAAATATTATTACAAATGCAGCCTACTTCTGAGGCAACTGGGTGATCCGGCGAAACCAGTCAGGATAGCGTTTCCCCATTTACTCTTACTTGGATGTTCGATGCCAAACATGATGAATGCATTGCCATTTACATCTATGTGGGAACGATCCCTTTATTACTTTGAATGACTGGCACTATTATTCAATGGTTGCTGCACCTTTTTTATGGACACATCTCCCTATGGAAGTTGTTTAATGTAGAATGAGATCTTCAGTTATCCAGTGGTGTATGGTAATTAATGGCTGGTGTGCAGGGGAGGTTTTAGAATTTATCCATATTGATCCTCCTCTAGACAACGTTCCCCAAATAGACTCTAAGAGGGGGGGGGGGGGGGGGGGGGGATTTTGCATACTATAATTATCCTCCTCTGGACCACACCTGTTGCTAGGATTCATTGAGAACGTTCTCCTTTCTCCTTGATTTTTAGTCTATTAACCACTGGAATATTTGGAAATATACAGTCGTGGACAAAAATATTGGCACCCCTGCATTTCTGTTAGATAATCCACCACTTCACCCAGAAAATTGTTGCAATTACAAATGTTTAGGCATTCTCATGTTTATTTCTTTTGTTTGTATTGGTATGACACAAAAAACTGGAGAAACAAAAAGCCAAATCTGACACATTCCATGCAAAACCCCAAAAAAATCGACTGGGCAAAATTATTGGCACCCTCAATATAATATTTGGTAGCACACCCCTTGGAAAACAGTAACTGAAATAGATCGCTTCCTGTAACCATCAATGAGTTTTTTACACCTTTCTACTGCAATTTTGAACCACTCTTTTCTAACTGCTCCAGATCAGATTGCAAGACTTCCTTCTCCCAACTGCTGTTTTTGAGATCTCTCCACAGGTGCTTTATGGGATTGAAATCTGGACTCATTGCTGGCCAGTTCAGTACTCTTCAGCGCTTTGTCTGAAACCATTTCTGGGTGCTTTTTGACATGCGCTTTGGGTCATTGTCCTGCTGTAAGACCAATGACCTCTGACAGAGACCCAGCTTTCTGACACTGGGCCCTACATTGCACCCCAGAATTCTTTGGTAATTTTCTGATTTCATAATGTGATGCACATGGTCAAGACATTCAGTGCCTGAAGCAGCAAAGCACCCTCGAAACATCAGTGAACCTCCACCATATTTGACTGTAGGGACTGTATTCTTTTCTTTAAAGGCCTCATTTCTTTTTCTGAAAACAGCTTTACCAAAAACTGTAATGTTGATGTTTCTGTCCACAGCACATTCTCCCAAAAAGGTTGAGTCAATTGTTCACCATTTTAAATGGTTGCAGGAGTGATTTCTATATTGTCAGCACCTGTTAATTGATACAGGTGAGTTTATTTACAAATTATAGGAGCATCACAAACCTGGAGTGCAATTATTTCTTACAATTTTGAGAAGGTGCCAATAATTATGTCCAGTCCATTTTTGGGGACAGTCCTCTGCCTTGGTTTCATTTTAAGCAACAGCAATACTGCCTCAAGCGTGATCTGTTCCTGAACCGAATGCTTATATCAGGATCCCTGTATGTGCACAGATCTAATAACAATGCTGTACTAAAGCTCTAGAACAGTTTATGGCAAATGAAAGCAATGACTACGCATATGAGTTCTATGCATAAGCTGTTGGCACAGGGCCAGGTCACACTGGAGGTATAGCTGGTATAAAAAAAAAAAATGGAAATCTATACTAGATAATGTTGAATTCGACCTGAATTGCTTCATTAACAACTTCTAATTAGGGCCTATTACCCCTAATAGTGACACCTTATGGGGCCATACCCCGTATCAGTTTAGGACTTGTTATATAATAACCATCCCTATGTTATACTGCTTAAATGGGCCTCTGTGGCTTCTCTCAGTTTCCAACATACTCTATCTTTTTATATTTATCCATATATGTATTCATGCCTTCTGTATGTACCTCCCTATTACGGGGGTCCTTGGTATGTATAGTAGATTTCATATATTCAATGGAATTGTTTTTCCCATCAGTGGTATTGTATGGTGGCTGGCATGTGTAGAGTGCCGCCTTAGGGTGCTCAGCCCTGTGATAGGAGCTTGCACCTTATTCATTATGATTTGCAATTAGGGCCCCAATATTTCTAATATAGATACCCCTAGGGGTTACACTTTGTATTAGTTTAGGATATGTTATCCAGTAACCATCCCTATGGTGTACTGTATTAATGGGCCTCTGTGGCATTTTTTTTCGGTTTCCAATATTTTATTTTTTACACATAATTTTTATATTCCATTTACTTTGATATTTACCTCCATACAATGGGTGTTTTTTGGACCCATGCTAGATGTCATATATCTTATGGGCTATTTCTTTCCCTCTGTGACATTGTATGGTGGCTGGTATGTTAGAGTGCCGCCTTAGGGTGCCCAGCCCTGTGACCGGAGCGTGCACTATATCCACCATGATTACTTCTAATTGGCGTTTATTTATCATCATTTTTTATATATTTTTTATATATTATTTTATATTATTATCTATCATTATTCTACTTGCATTCACATTTATCGTTCTGGCGCTGTTATTGTTTTTATTACCTTATGGACATTTATCCCGGCATTGAATGCAAGGATTGCCGCATATACGCATAGAAGTTTGTCCTCGATATAGGACTCCAAGCTAATGGCGGCTGGCACCGCCTAGTAGGAGTGCCGATTGACTAATCCACCCAATAAATTAGGCTCCACCAGTAGTAGGCGTATATCCTGATGAAGTCACGCGCTTGAGTGACGTAACGCGTAGATACGCCAGTGGGAGGAGCTTTTGACGACCGACGGCCTGACGTCATATCCGGCGTGGGCGCCATCTTGGTGCTCCGTTTTCCAATACAGTACACCCTTGGAGTGGTGTAAAGGCCTGCTTGTCCTAAGACCTTTGTAAGTAGTTTTCTAGTATTGTTTTTTACTTAATAAAAAGGTTTTACACTATACCAGTCTCTCTTGCCTCACTGGTGACCGTATGGGAGAGTCATACTGGAGAGACACCACAGGTATCATCTGCTGCTGAGGCGTACTATCTGCTGCTGAGGCTTACCTATCTGCTACTGAGGCTAGTCAAGTGGAGAGAGATATACTTTCGCCGCCAGAGAGATCTACCTGTCACCTGGAGGAATATTTTATTCACCACTCAATGCTCTTTGGTCCCTGGGGGCCTGAGCAGGAAGGTGAGGGGGCACCCCAGCCTTAGAGGATTGGCACATTGCAGTTCACACCTGCATGAAGTTTGTGTGATTTACCAAGGACACTATGCACCATTTGTCACTTTAATGCATGTCATTCTTAGCCATCTATCTCACCTCAGTTAGATGTCATTTATAGATGTCATTTATATATCTCACCCCCTATAGATGCTAGATATATTCATTTACTCTATTATCTTGTCATTATAGCGCCGTATTAATTGTTATATATATTTTAGTTGATGCTTTTGGTGCTGTGGCTGTGGCACCTTTAATACAGGCTGCTTCTATCATTTATTTTCAAAATAGTGGCGCAAGAGATTGTTCCTTAATCATAAATCTATACTAGAAGGCCAACAATTCCATGCTGTGAGCCTAAATTTGTTGGTATTCCTATTCGTTATTATTATTTTTTTTTTTCATTTTAATGTATGAAAAAAAAAAAAAAAACCCTCTTCTCAATACATTTTCTGTGTGCATTTCTCTACATTTCTAGAAATGTCTTAATATAGATTATATGCAGTTCCCCTTTACAGTCATTTGTGACGATAAGCAGGTTTTAGTCTATTGGCAGAAATGTAAACTTTATTTGGTTGGCCATAGATGAGTAGATATGATTCCAAACATTTTGTGGAAACCTGGCCGTCACACCTACCTATATGCAATCTGATCTGGAGCAGTTAAAAAAGAGTGGTTCAAAATTGCAGTAGAAAGGTGTAAAAAACTCATTGATGGTTACAGGAAGCGATCTATTTCAGTTACTGTTTTCCAAGGGGTGTGCTACCAAATATTATATTGAGGGTGCCAATAATTTTGCCCAGTCGGTTTTTTTTTTGGGGGTTTTGCGTGGAATGTGTCAGATTTGGCTTTTTGTTTCTCCAGTTTTTTGTGTCATACCTATACAAACAAAAAAAAACATGAGAATGCCTAAATATTTGTAATTGCAACAATTTTCTGGGCGAAATGGTGCATTATCTGACAGAAATGCAGGGTTGCCAATATTTTTTGGCCATGACTGTATTTACAGTATATGAGGGAGGTGAAAAAGGCATGTGCACTGGAGAGACAACGTCCTCCTCTGGATTACACTATTTGCTACATATGGAGACCCTTCCACAAAAATCTCTACCAAGGATATATTGCTTGGATGACACCTGTTGTGTTTTTGGAGTGAAGTCAAACACATACACCTAACTGGATACACTCTTTATTGATTGATTGGAGTTGTTTTGCTACAAGCAAGAGCATTTTATGGTGGTGGATGGACATAATTTCAACATATTTGCAATCAATTTTGGTTTGCACCATTTTTTTCTCATGAACATCCATTGATATTTTGTTATATAATATTTTTTATACGCTTTAATCATTTTTATTATATGTTTAGCACTGCACGGCACATTTTTAATAACAACTTAATGGCTGCAGTAGCAGTGAGCTTGATTTAATCCCTTAAATGCTATGAACAGGGGTTACAGACCTTTTATACAGGTAATGCAGAATTCTGAAAATGGGGCTTGCAAATCTGACTTTAGCTATCCTGTAATGTTTATGGTCAGCTGTAATTTAAAGCCCAAGTGTTCCAGAGAGAGAATAACTCCAGATTTTCCATTTGTCTGATGTTTTCTATCTTATGGAATCATTGCCTCAACAATGGCGGAGTAGTTGAGTTCCATAAGGCAGGGACACAAGAGTGGGCTACATTAACTGCATGTGTCAACACAAATGATTTCTCATAATTCTGCAAGTTTGCTGCTTTTAATGAATGCTAAGTATATTGGTTACATTCTCCCCCCCAAAGTGCAATTCAGTTTTAAAATTTTACTTAATCGTAGACAACAAATAGTTGACACCTCTACAAGTGTTCGGACACTTCCACTGCCAGCTCATACTATAGTGAAAACAGTATACAGACATTTCCTAGTCTGTCCATTAGTGGATTCCCCAAAGAAATGTTGGCCATTAATATCTGAAGGCTCTTACCAACATGGAATTTCCCTTCTGGCTGAAAATGGTTGCATTGGAAGTGCTTACTTTACATCTATGGGTACCTAACACAACAGGCTGATAAACGCCATTGCAAGGTTCTACACATTTTATTTTTGTCTTGTAATATTTCCTACTTTAACCCGGGATTGCTAGATTTGCATACAGATCACACTAAGATCCAGGGCTGTTGGGGAGGGCATAAAGATGGTCTTCAAGACAAACAATGGGGAAACTTTGTGGGGCTGCTATAGATAGTTTGTTCAACCTGTCATGGTAGAAAATTGGTTGCCACTGCTGACCACCATCTTAAAATGCTAGTGGCATGGCGGTCTCTTGCTTCTAGATTTACTGATAAATTAGCCAGGGGCAAACATGTAGAAAGTGCACTTGAACTTATGATATACATAATTGTTCGGGTTAGTGATTCAGAGAGAATTGAAGCCAAGGGTCAGCATTATTATAAGACGGTGATCCATAAAGGTGTCCTCTTAACTTAACTCTATTTTCTGAAGAGATTAGTGTCGCTTCCAGGTTCTCAATAATCACATTGCAACAGTCAGAAATTAGGCCTCATAGTGTGGCCAAGTTCTGTGCATTGGCACATGGTGGTATTTCAATTGCTTCTATACACACACCAGCAGTTCAGGTTCCACATGCAGAAAACTTTATAACCAATACCTGTCAATGTGATGTTACAAGGAACGCCAAATGGAAAGTCTCCAACAGTCCCAGTTTCACCTTTCCAAGTGCAGGTCTCCCCCAAGACACACAACTGCTGCATGTACTGTAAGAGATAAAATGAAACAGGATTACAATGTACTGTATTCAGCCAGACTATGAGGAGGATGAGATTATTTTATAAGGTAACAGAAATCTGTAAATTGCAAAAACCCACAGAAACCAATAAGCAATCAGCTTTGATTGTTCAGACGTGGGAAAAATTAAACTTGACTGCAATTTGTACAGCATAGCTGCTCTGTACTGCCTTACTAAAATTTCATCTGTATTGCAGAGAAACTAGCAATCATACAATACAGTCTGCTCTCTGTGCATCAGCACTAACCTGCCATATAAAACTTGTGCACCTGCTGAGAAAGGATTTGTAATCTGCGCTACAGGGAGTTCTTGAGCACTCAAAAAAATTCCAAATGCACATTACCATAAACTGTGCAAATGTGTTACCTTGCTGTCAGGATGGCTACCTGATGGAATGCAACACTAATGCTTGTGCATGTCATCTTTTCTGGGAACAAATCCTCTTTGAGGGCCCATTCACACTAGGAATCTCACAGGAATGTGCTGCACGTTCCTATGCAATTCACACATTTCTGAGGTGCGATTTCAGCCCATTCATTTTGAGTGGACTGAATTTGCACGTACTACTTTTGTAAATGCACTGCAACAGGATCACATGGTATTTTGGTTTGGGGTTTTATAAATATTGAACTGACACCTGCTGCAGATCCCAAGGACAGTGACTGTTGGTTTCCCACACCATGTTCTAGTGTGAACAGGCCCTAAATGAGAAATATAGTGCATTTTCAGCAAGCTTGAGTTATTGCCGCAATATTTACCTTAACCTCTTGCCGTCCGCCTGCTGTTTATAAACGGCAGGGCGGTGGCAGTCCAGGGTCGGGTTGCCGTCCATAAACGGCACCCGCCTTTTCTAGCTGTGAGCGCTCCCTGGGAGCGCGCACCACCGCGATCCGGTGCCCGCTGTGTCCTCCGGACACAGTGAAACACCGATCGTCGGACGGGACCTCTGTACGAGGTCCCGATCATGTGATCACTGATTGGCGAATCAGTGATCACATGCAAAGTAGTAAGCAAGATGTCACTTGTGACATCATTGCTTACTATGTGTGAAATCTGTGAATGATCACAGAGGTCACATGGTACAAGGCTATTCACAACAGCCTTGTACCATGTGACAAGCTGTGACCACTCACAGCTCACTCAGTAATTCTCAATGACTGCAGGAATGCAGACAGAGAGAAAGAGAAATGATTGCTTTTACATCCTATATGGGTGTAAAAGCAATCAGTGTAAAAAAAAAAAAAAAAAAAAAAAAAAAATCTTCATCACCCTCCACAAGTAGTACAGTGTCACCATGGTGACAGTGTACTGCTAGGGTGACAGTATGTAAAAAAAAAAAAATAAATAAAATAATATAAAAAAATAAAAAATAAAACGTAAAAAAAAATGTTTAAAAATTATATTTTTGGTTATAAACTAATTTGGATTTTTTTTTTTTTACTAAAAAAATAACGGAATAAATTTTGGCCAAGATTTATGATGAAATATTATTTATTTGCAAAATTTTATTTAAAAAAACACTTTTCAAAATTTTTGAACTTTTTCATTTACATAGTAAAAAAAATAAAAATCCCAGAGGTGAATAAATACCACCAAAATAAAGCTTTATCTGTCTCAAAAAAATGGTAAAAAATTCATATGGGTACAGTATTGCATGACCGCGCAATTGTCATTCAAAGTGTGATAGCGCTGAAAGCTAAAAATTGCCCTGGACAGGAAGGGGTAAAAGTGCACCTGTGCCCAGGTTATAGACATGTACATATTGATATTTACATATTGTCAACAATTAAAAAATGAGCTTTAAAACAAGTCCTCACTCATATCTATAGGTGCTTTTAATAGGGAACAACTACTTCTAAAATATTCTGAAAGATCACAAAAAAAACTGGAGTTGAGTTTAGCTGAGAAACATCTACTTGTTGCTTCAATCAATTAGAAGGTTGGCAGGCAAAGATCTTCGCTCAGAGAAAAAAAAAAAAAATGCTTTCAGTGCCTCTCTTGCGTAATTTCCCCACAACACCTATAAGTACAGGGGTTAATGAGGGCTTTTGTCACTTCAATTCAGAATATCTAGAATAGTGTAATGTACACACACACACGCACACACACACAAACACACACACAATAAATGCCTTTTTTTCTTTATTTTTAAAGGTAATCACAATCTCTTTTCTCAGCTACATAGGGGGATTAGAGTAGTACGGGTGGACAAACAGTAGTACACCGATCTTCTCAGTGAACCGCTGTGCAGGAGGCAGTGTCAGCACAAGTCTGTTCATTGGTAAAACGGCAGGCTGTACACCCAGCACAGCCAGAAAACTGACCACACAGGGATGGATGTGCTTTTATACTTAGCATGGTCAGTTTAAAATAGGAGATCGGGGGGACTGGCAGGAATACCAGGTATTTTCAGACAAAGGAAGCAATACAAAGAAAACTGGATACCTTCTTAAAACAAGTACGTGGTACAACATACGCGTCATATTGGGGTAACATATTCTTTAAAGCTGACCTTAGGATTTAACAAATCAAATTAATGAAGCTCTGTACGAAATGATACATCATTTAGGCTGGATTCACACCTTTGTGATTTTCCTTGATGCACATACCAAAGTGGTTCTGAAGGATAATTTTTTTCTCAAGGAAAATAACAAACATGTCATATGTACCTGTCTATGGGACACACAGAGCTTGACTCAGTCCAACCCCTGTTCCTTCCTCACTGGCTGTGATTGACAGCAGTGGGAGCCAATGAGGAGAGAGAGACCTGGGAGAGCGGAGACTCCCATGCACAGCACTGGATGAAAATCGGACTCAGGTAAGTATTGGGGGGGGCTGCAGAGGGAGCTGCACATGCATAGAATGGGCAGAGTCGATCGACCACTTGGTATTTTTTGATCTCACTTTTCTATGAATGCCTGAAGATAGAAAAACCTTCATCCTTTACAAACACTTTAATGAAATAAATAGAAACGCATCAAAATGCATGTTTTAAAATGCCCATGAGCATGTTTTATGAAGCATGTGAACACATAAGTGGCATCATGCTATTCAGGTATGCACAGCTACTTGAGCAAACAAAACATGCGTACAGATGTAAGGTCTGGAACGTACACTGTGTTCACAGACTTGCATCTGTACCAGGGGCGCACTGACCATTTGGGCACCCAGGCATTGCCCGAGGGCCCCAGGTCAGTAGGGGGCCCCATGAGATGCCCCCGGTACCTTTCATAGACTTTTTTGGGTTTGGTTTGAGTGTAGGCAAGGACAAAGGGGCCCCATGAGTTGTCAGTCCGCCCCTGATCTGTACTCTTGTGCTACTTTATGCAAGTAGTGGTGCATACCCTTGTATAGTCCCATACAACCATTCATGTCTGAGCATGAACATAGAATCAGGGGCTCCTGCACACCAAAACATATATCAACATGCTTATGCTGTAAGGAGGAGTGTTCCTGTGTACATGAGCCGTGAGGAGGAATGTGCCCATGTGCATGAGCCCTTAGTGTGTCAGCTGACTCACCGACCTGCATTGTGAGAAACAGCAGTAACACGCAATCATTGTTTGGCACTGCAAAGCAGACAACAAACCCCAATTATAAAAATGCACCAATATGGCTCCTCTCATGAATATATGCAATTACAAAAAAATGCACAGAAATATGGGGTTTGAACCATCACTAAAATATTACACAAATCAGATCTATTTATAGGTTTATCTTCAAAAACTAAAATTACATTAATATTCCACTGAGACGTGGTTAAAAGTGGGTGGGTGGCATCATTTGCCTGCTGCTGCCTTAGGCCATCAGCAACTATGTCAAAAAACAAACGATGGTCTCTTGTTACTTAAAAGAGAATGAAAACCAAAACACACAGTACCCAGAAATCTGGCATCAATTGTTTCAGCAAGTCATTTCAGCAACATATGGCAGCTGTACCTTGTTTTTCTAGGAAACTCACAGCTATGGAATGTCTGTTGTAATAATTGCTACAAAAAACCTTTAAGGCTACAGGACAACCTTGATCTATATTAGTTTAATTGTAGCCAAAATCATAAACTAAACACAGTATAATGTAATTAAAAAGTTTTGATTACAGAGATCTCTTGTATTTTATTTCACACCACCAAATGTCTTTCACATGGGCGCCTTGTGTTTCAATCAGCAGGGGATCTGTTCGTTGAACGGAGTGAGGTGGATGGCAGGTCTGTGTCCACTCTGTTTATGGACAGGGACAGACTTTGCCCTGCTCTATGGGCGGCTGGGAGTAAACCAACTCCACTTATGGTTTTGTTTTTTGGGGGTTTTTGTTTAGCAGGCTTGATCGGACCCAGTGGTAGGCAGGTGTAAACGGACACAAGTCTGTTACACATCAGTTCTCAGTAAATGCATGGACCATCCGATCAGGTCCACCTGAAAAAAAATGACAGGCAGACGTGATCAGATTTCCCATGTGAAAGGACTCTAACAGCAGAGCACTTAACTGTGCCTAAGCAGTACCCCAAAATATTATCGCCTTGAAATTCTTCTGAAAAATAGCAGTGCACTTCCTGTGCTGAGATACGTTTGTGCATTCAGCCTCACAACTGCAAATATACAGTTTGAGCTCATTTAAGGCACTGCTGCTTCGAACTGCTAATTTCATAATATTTGGACTCAGATGTCACTATTGTTCTGCTCCCAGTTCTCCTGCTGTACCTGAGAACCTGCAGTGCCTGTATCTTCCTGCTTCTGTTTTACTCATTCTGTGGATCTGTGTTCCTCCAACTCTTCTGCTCCTTGATTATTTCTCTATTGACAATTAGTGCTCCATTCATCAGGGAAACAGCTCTGACATGAGAAAACAAAGCCCTGCTCCTCTACGAAGATGGCCCCCTCCATGCAGTGCAGAACAAGGCATAATTAGGAATATGGAAAAGATCAGCTGCAGGCACCGGCAGTACTGGGGGCTAGTCCTTTGCACCCTGATTGCCATCTTTTGGATACAGCTTTCACAGCCCAGGCATGCAGCCATAATTTTATTTGTGGAATAAAGTTTCTCGTTACCAACTTTTCTATGAGAAAACTGAGAAACAATTGGCATATGGCCCCCACTTAAGTTTTTGTGGGCCCAGGGCTGTTAAAATATCCACCCAGAAGTACAGTTGTGTTCAAAATAATAGCAGTCAGACATCACTAACCTGATCAATCACTGTTTTTGGTAGAAATTATATTTCTACATGGCAAATAATTTACTAGCAGGTGTAGTAGAGTAATAGAAATCCAACAGACCCAACAGTCATGACATGCATGCTGCTGATTCTGTGTAATTGAATCACTAATTGAAAGGGGCATGTTCAAAATAATAGCAGTGTGGAGTTCTATTAGTGAGGTCATTCATTCTTTGAAAAACAGGTGGCAATTATTGCCCTTATTTAAGGAAGGAAGGCAGCAAATGTTGTACATGCTGGTTACAGTGCATTTCTCTCTGAAATTCTGAGGAAAATGGGTCGTTCCAGACATTGTTCAGAAGAACAGCGTACCTTGATTAAAAAGTTGATTGGAGAGGGGAAAACATATAAAGAAGTAAGAAAATGATAGGCTGCTCAGCTAAAATGATCGCAAATGCTTTAAAAAATGGCAACCAAAACCTGAAATATGTGGAAGAAAGCGAAAAACTACCATTCGAATGGATAGAAGAATAGCCAAAATGGCAAGGACTCAGCCAACAATCAGCTCCAGGAAGATCAAAGAAGGTCTAAAGTTCCCTGTGAGTACTGTTACAATTAGAAGATGCCTATGTGAAGCCAAGCTATCTGCAAGAAGCCCCCCGCAAAGTCCCACTGTTGAAAAAAAGACGTGCTGAAGAGGTTATAATTTGCCAAAGAGCACATTAACTGGCCTAAAGAGAAATGGTGCAACATTTTGTGGACTGATGAAAGTAAGATTGTTCTTTTTGGGTCTAGTGGCCGGAGACAGTTTGTCAGATGACCCCCAAACACTGAATTCAAGCCACAGTACACTGTGAAGACAGTGAAGCATGGTTGTGCAAGCATCATGATATGGGGATGTTTCTCATACTACGGTGTTGGGCCTATTTATCGCATACCAGGGATCATGGATCAGTTTGAATACATCAGAATACTTGAAGAGGTCATGCTGCCTTATGCTGAAGAGGAAATGCTCTTGAAATGGGTGTTCCAACAAGACAACGACCCCAAACACACCAGTAAACGTGCAACATCTTGGTTCCAGACCAACAAGATTGACGTTATGGAGTGGCCAGCCCAATCTCCGGATCTTAATCCAATAGAAAACTTGTGGGGTGACATCAAAAATGCTGTTTCTGAGGCAAAGCCAAGAAATAGAGAAGAACTGTGGAATGTAGTCCAATCATCCTGGGCTGGAATACCTGTTCACAGGTGCCAAAAGTTGGTTGACTCCATGCAACACAGATGTACAGCAGTTCTCCAAAACAGTGCTTATACAACTAAATATTCATTAAGTGATTCAAAGGAAAGCAAAATCTTCAAACATTTTTCAGTTTATATATTTGAGTTTGTAAAGAAGAACAACACAAATTTGATATATTTTTCTTCATGTTTTGGTTTGGAATAGAATGTGTAGTGTTCCCAATGCATTTGTGTGTATGGAAATAAAAGCTATTAGAAGGATTTTGAGCTTTATTCACTTTTTTCAACACACTGCTATTATTTTGAACACAACTGTGTATATTGGAGGAGGCATGCTAAGGTGAAAAGCAGCAAGGTAAGTGGATTCTAGGTTAGCTTAGGTCAAGGGGGCTAGAAAGGGTGGACTAGTTAGTTTTTCCAAGAGTAGAGCAGGCTTAGACACTGTTAGACTAATTAGACTAAGTGGCTGCAAAGAGCCAGCAAGAGATCAGACACATTGATATGCAACACTGGATAAAAAAAAAAGGTAACAAAAAAGTATCCGGTTTAAAAAAAAAAAAAAAAAAAAAAAGACATAGCAGTTGTTTATGATCTATAGTTGTTTAGCATACTTACGGTCATTCGTTTAGGGTTCAAAATCTACTTTATCCACTTGATGACCGCAATACGTATATAAACGTTGCGGTTGTCAAGTGGTTTACCGCGGTATGGCTGAAGAAAGCAGCTATAACCCCAGTATTTTTTTTCTTCAGCTGATGGCCAGCTTTCTACTGAAAGCGGTCTTAGTGGCTCTTCAGCCACTGGACCGCTTACTGTAGCAACGGGAGGGGACATGCCCCCCCTCCCGGCGCTTGCCAGTGTTTTTAGGACTTCTTGCTAAAACCTGCTGCGACCAGCTGAAGATGGAGGGACTCTTGCTTTTAAAAGGTAAAAGGAGATATTTGGGGTCTTTTTGACCCCAGATCTCTGCTTAAAGAGGACCTGTCATGCATATTTCTATTACAAGGGATGTGTACATTCCTTGTAATAGGAATAAAAGTGAGAAAAAAAAAATATGTTTAAAAGCACCCCTGTGCTTGCGTGCAAAAGCGAATGCATATGTAAACTGTGTTCGGAGCACATGTGAGGTATCGCTGAGAACGTTAGAGCGAGAGCAATAATTCTAGCGCTAGACCTCCTCTGTAATTCTAAATAGGTAACCTGTAACTATTCTACAAGCTTGTGCAATTTAAAAGCATGACATGTTAGGTATCTATTTAATAGCTGTAACATCCTCTTTTATATTTTAGAAACAAACTGGGGAATATAGATTGTTCTGTTTTTTTTTTAATTCACGAATGTGTATTTTTTCCCAAAACATTGCGTTTTAAAAACAGCTGCACAAATACCATGTGACATAAAAAAATTGCAACAATCAACACTTCATTCTCTCATATATAATGCTTAGGGGTTATAAGTAATTTTCTAGCAAAAAATAAGGATTTAAACTTGTAAACAAAACATACCAGAAAATGTTTTGTCTTCAAGTGGTTATAGTAAATAATATTTTATTACTCACCTGTTTGGCTATTCTCTCAAAGCTGTAGATGCGGACTAGTCCAACACTGTGCATTACAATCACCATCCCATTAGAAATCATGGCATCAGCTACATTTGAGCCAAACACCTATGAGGAAATAATCAACAAAAAACAGCTGATTTTACAAAATGATTGCATTAAAAAAAAAAAAAAAAAAAAACAAAAAAAACAACAACTTGGAATAGTTATGATAGAGCTACTGCTGTCAGTACATTTAAAATAGTTTGCTTTAGTAACCTGCACTTGATGATGGCTGGATTGGAAAATGATCTAATCTTCTGGGGACTCTTTGCCTGTATATACAGTACAGTGCAACTGTTACAGGCAGTTGTGAAAAAAATTCTGTAAATGAAGAATTCTTTCAGAAATAGAAGTGTTAATAGTTTATTTTCTTATCAAATGAATAAAACAAAGTAAATGAACAGAAGAAAAATCCAAATCAATATATTTGTGGGACCTGCCTTTGCCTTTAAAACAGCATCAATTAATCTAGGTACACAGTTTTTCAAAGAATTTAACAGGTAGGTTCTTCCAAAGCTCTTGCAGAACTATCCACAGATATTTTGTGGATGTGTGCTGCCTCAAATCCTAGACAGATTGATGTTGAGATCAGGGCTTCACGGGGGCCAAAACATCACTTGCAGGACTCCTTGTTCTTCTTTACATTGAAGATAGTTCTTAACGGCATTGGCTGAATGTTTGGGGTTGTTCTGCTGCAGAATAAATTTGGGGCCAATCACACGCCACCTTGAGGATATGGAATGATGGATAAGTATCTGCCTGTATTTCTCAGCATTGAGAACACCATTGATCCTGACCAAATCTTCAACTTCATTTGCAAAAATGCAACCCCAAACTTGCAAGGAACCTCCACCATACTGCAGTGTTGCCTGCAGACATATTATTGTTCTGATCTCCAGCCCTTAGGTGAACAAACTGCCTCCTGCTACAGCCAAATATTTTACATTTTGATTCATTAGTGCAGCACCTGCTGCCATTAATCTGCACCACAGTTCCTATGTTCTTGTGCATAGTTGAGTCACTTAGGCTTGTTTCCACGTAAGTAGTATGGCTTTTTGGCCACAATTCTACCATGAAGACCACGTTTGGCCAGACTTCTCCGAACAGTAGATGGGGGTACCTGAGTCCCACTAGTTTCTGCCAGTTCTGTGCTGATGGACATATGATGATTTTAAAGGGAAGTAAGCATGATGCATCTCATCTGCTGCATTAAGTTTCCTTGGCTAACCACTTCGTCAATGGTCCCAGACACTGCCCGATCAATGGTGAGAAATACAGGCACATACTTATCTTGTAAATTTCACTCACACACACATACACACACTTATAATTCCTCTGTGAGGTTATGGCTTAGCATGCCCTATACACATATATTCTGCTGTAATTACTTTTACTACAGTTAGGATTGCTTGCGGCCACGCAGCTGCGTGCTCTCGGTGTGCCTGTGTCCCCTGGAATTCCACTTGGCAGAAGGGCTCTCCGAATGGCCCTTCTGATCACATGACAACTGTCCAATCACAGCAGTCATGTGATGTCAACAAAGCCACCATTCAGTGGAACGGCTCTGCCTCTCCTCACACAGAGCCCGCTAGTGAGGAGAAGCAGAGCTGATCTGTGAGGCACACACAATCACATCGCCCACACATCACCCTGTCACAATACCAGTGATCCACATCTGTCACACAGTGCCAGTGGTCATCCACATCTGTACCAGTGATCCACATCTGTCATGGCGTACCAGTGTAAATTCCACATCTGTACCAGTGATTCATATCTTTCACTGTGTACTACTGCAAAATTCACATCTGTACCAGTGATCCACCTCTGTCACGGCGTACCAGTGTAAAAACCAGGCAGACTAAAGGCTGTAATTAAGACAAAAGGTGTTTTTATTTTTCTTTTTTTTTTGACACGTTGGCGTTATATCTTTCACTTGGGTGTTAGAAGTTGCACTATTACTTTTTTTTTTAAGGGGGGGGTGAATTTTTTCTATACCCACTGTGTGTAGGTGTGTGTGTATATATATTTATTGCACACAATCTATATTTATGTACTGTATGCACACACAATAATTTGTTTGTATTTTGAGTAGTTCATAAAGAAAATATCTAAACTTGCATTTTTACCTAATCTCAAAACATACAGTTAATATCAGGGGTGAAATATAAAAAATTGTGAAAAAGAAGAAAAATAGGCTTACTTTTTTATCAATCTCCAGTACGCCTACTAATGTCAGAGGGAAAACATTGAAGATCGCAAAATAAAACAGCACTGTGCTCTGAAATATAAAAATAAAAGATATTAAAAATTAACTAACTATAGATAAAATGGTTTACATAAACTAACATTTGTAGCAGTTTTTAAAGAAAAATTTCATGCTAAATAAAACTGTTTTTTTTTTCAGCTTCTGAAAATGAAAGTGTTTTCCCACTTTTGCAAGCAAATTGGGATGAAAACGACTTTATATTTGTAATGGTGTTCCCCTTTCACATAGAACTGTAAAAATAAATAAATAATATCCATAACTGCGGTTTTCCTTGTTATTTGCCGAAAAATCCTATTAAAATCTTACTTACGGTTTCTTTGTAATGTTAACAAGTGGGGAGATACGTTTACCATAATCAAAGTAGAAACAAAAGATAAAAAAGAAAAACTATAAACCAACTTTTAAATGTTGCCTCCACAATGCTCCCCATTGCCCCACATAAATGTTCTAATAAATTGCAACACAAATACCCTTTTTAATGTTTTTCTATGACTGCAAAGCTGGGACTCAAGTATAATGTGAAGAGTCAACAGCGGAGCTGAATTCCATAAGCAGTCCATTGCTGTAAGCCGCTGTCAGTGTGAAGAATTCCTGCTCCCATGCTGCAGCAGTTGCTCAGAGCTGGAGCTATGCAGCCAGGTAACCACATAGAAAAAAACAAGTCATTAGAAATGTTTCACAGGGAAAGATTTAAAAGTAATTTTTCCAGTTTAGTCTTTTCTTCTACTATAACACTATCTGCACTGCGCTGGCAGATCCCAATATTCAGTTGTAAACTAGATGTGCACACTGTCTGTCCTATAAAAGGGTTAAAGACATCAAGGTCTGGGTGATACATTGTTGGCTAACGTATGAGGAAAAAAAAAAAAAATGTCCCTAAAGTGTTCATACTGTATAGTGTATTGTTCTGCAAATTATTCTGAACAATTCAAGCTGCCAATAGAGTCCTATATACAGTATATACCTGCTCCACAGAAACAACTAGAAAGTAAGAAATCATTTTTCAACTATTTTCCAGGTATAGTGAGTGTCTGGAAACAAAACGATATAGTGGGGGTTTCTCCAATTTGGCTGCCAAGGTGGAAATACAGCTAAAGACCTGCTAATATGTAAATTGGATGATCTGCCCAACTATACCCCGCAATGATAGCTTGTCTGAAATCAGTGGGAAACCATAACTGAATATCAAAATAATAACAAAATACTATATCTCATCTCTTCAGGGAAGCCTATCACGCCTCCGAATAGACATTTATTTCACTTTCATCAGCTCATCTCCCCAACAGTTATAACCTTTTGCCCACCCTATTAGATTGTAAACTCTTAAGAGTAGGGCCCTCTTAATCCTCTTGTTTTAATTGTATTGTAGCTGTACTGTCTCCCTTTATATTGTAAAGCGCTGTGCAAACTGTTGGCGTTATAAACAATGCCCTGCAAACATATTCATTTCCACATTTTGTCATGTTACAACCAAAAATGTAAATGTGTTTTGTTGGGATTTTATGTGATAGACCAACACAGAGTGGCACATAATTGTGAAGTGGAAAGAAAATGATAAATGGTTTTCAAAATGTTTTACAAATAAATATCTGAAAAGTGTGGCGTGCATTTCTATTCAGCCCCCTTTACTGTGATACCCCTAACTAAAATCTAGTGGAACCATTTGCCTTCAGAAGTCACCTAATTAGTAAATAGAGTCCACCTGTGTGTAATTTAATCTCAGTATAAACACAGCTGCTCTGTGAAGCCCCCCCCCGTGACAGAAGTACAGGGAAAAGTTCCCTGTACGCGCTGTCAGTTTTTAAAAACAGCATGATTGTGCTGGGCTCCGCCCACACAGCTGCGTCATTCATTCCCAGCCTTAGCGGCTGTTGATTTGTAGTTCTCAATTAACTACCCCGGCGCTGTGGAGCACCGTGGTAGTTCATTGATTCTTCCTGTCAGTATATCTGCTTGCCCATACATCCCGTACACTGCCTGATTGTGCATTCTGTATTGGCAAGCAGATATACTGACAGGTCTGCAGGAGACCTGCATGGCACCAGCAATCTGCTGATCGCTGGTGCAATGCTTTACAGGCTCCTGCAACCAAAAATTATAAATGCATATTTTGTTACCTGCAAAAAAAAAAATGTACAATTATTATTTCTGGGCAAAAGGTGAACTCATCCTTTAAGAATAGGAACGGAGAAGGTTCAGTTTAAAGAAAAAGCACAATTTTTACATCCAAAACATTTATAAAATATAAACTAGTATAATTTTTTTTTTTTTCAGTTTTAATTAGAGTAGAGAGATGTTAGAACCCCTGTCAGTTTTTATTGCTGTTTTCTTTGCCCTTGATAAGGAGATTCACCCTCTCTATTTGTCCTGTTTACCATTATCATTGAAAGTGATTTAAAAGAGAAAAAAAAAAAAAAAAAGAAGAAAATCTCACATTTTGGGTTGTGTCCACAAAACTACGAGGGGAAATCTTCCAATGAGGATGCTAGTTCTAGTGACCTGGGGGTCCAAAGGAATTACCTTAATTTGGAGGGATTTCCTCTCACTTCCTGTTAGGCTATGGGACAGGAAGTGAAGGGAAATCTCTGCAATGGGACACAAGGGTGAAAAAAGAAAACTCAGGTTATATCCTTCCCTTGCTCTATCCAAAATGAATAAAAAAAGTTTTGCCTATAGTTCTACTTTAATATAGCTAAGCGAATTAAACAAAACTGCATTTTGAAAATTCCCCTCTTTTCTGGCTTAATTGGATGCCAAAGTTCCCCTCATAGTTCTAATTTACCATATAATGGCAGATAAAGCAAGATATATATATGTTCATATAACTCAGTGATTCTGTTTTTGAATTTTTACATTTTTTCTGACATGTTTGTGATATATCTTTCACTTGGATATTATAAGTTGAGTAAATACAACTGGATAAAACGAAGATTTTATTTCAGGCTGCAAAGCAACAAAATGTGATTTTAAAAGGGGGTGATTCTTTTCTATACCCACTGTATATCACGTCAATTATAAAAAGATTTTTTAATAATTTGAGTAAACCCTGGCTCCATACTTTCTGATCAGAGATAGGCTAATGGGTTGAATGGGATATCATATCTACTTAAAGGACAACTGAGGTCTATCCTTCTATAATGAAGGTAATAAATGCAACAGACCAGGTTAGCTCCATAACATACATAAAATCTTTAAAATGTTTCTAACTTTCAGATTTTTTCTAAAAAAGTAATCAAAACCTCCAGTACTGAGTCTAAAGGGGGTGATGGTCAGGGATATATCGCAAATTCATCTTGTATTCCGGAATGTATGTAAACAAAATCAGGAAACTACATTTCCCAGCATTCTTTTCATTTCAGAAAAATGAGTGTTTCATATGGGAGGGTCAGTAGGAAGTCATTTGGGTGGGTTGTTTTGCAATAGACCACAGGGGAGGTGGAGGGTAATTGCATGCAGGATGGGAGTAGGCATGCAAGGAAAGTGTTGCGAGAAAGAGGGGAGGCTGTATGTTCTTGTAAAATTCAGACCATGTTACAGCATGCGCCATCGCGTCACGCCATTGTAGGCTCTGAAAAAGAGCAAATGCATACTGGTCCAGCGGAAGGAAGTTTAAAAAAAGTTTTAATATTTTCACAATACCATAGTTTCCCTCCACCCCTACAAGCAGTATCTTTTTTTTTTTTTAATAATTTTTGTGTCGCACACAACATTGTTTTTCCGGTAAAGCACATACCTGCTGGCTTTCAGAGACACTATTCTTTTGTATAGATTTGACCACTAGAGTCTCCTGTGGAACATTCCAGGCAATATACCTATTATCACAAATTAGAAAATGTCCATTATCACAGTTATAAGATGTATTTGTATAGCTTTTTGCAAGTAGAGATGAGCTTGCGTGTCCTCCAAACTCATTTCTAAGCTGAACTTCAAACTCCTGCTATTTTGTACTTCAATGAGCTCTGGGCTGAGTCATTCCCCACCCCACAGCTTGTGTGGGCTGCAGGTAGGAAATGACCCAGCCCACAGCTTATTGGAGTACAATAAAGCTGTAGTTCAGATGAAGCCCAAGCTCATCTCTATTGGAAAGGTGAAGAAAATACTACAATAGGGTTCCTACCATAAAAAAACATAACTGCACAGATAAAACTCATGAGATACACAACTAGTGGCAAGCAATGCTCACCCTCTTCAGATCTCCCAATGATCAGCTGTTGTAGAGGCTTGAGGTAAACGGAGTAGGCCCTTTATTAGATTTTGAAATCCCCTTAAACTAAACAATTCTGTTCAGCCAGTACCTTATGATTTACACATACAATGAAGAAAATTATTATTTGATCCCCTGTAGATTTTGTACGTTTGCCCACTTACAAAGAAATGACAGGTCTATAATTTTTATCATAGGTGTATTTTAAATGATAGAGACAGAATATCAACCAAAAATCCAGAAAAAACACGAAAAATGTTATAAATGGAGTTGCAGTTCAGTGAGTAAAATAAGTATTAGATCCCCAAGCAGAACATGACTTAGTAATTGGTGGAGACACCCTTGTTGTCAAGCATAGAGGATAGACGTTTCTTGTAGTTGGTTACCAGGCTTGCACACATCTCAGGAGGGGTTTTGGTCCACTCTTCTTTACAGATCTTCTCAATCCTTAAGGTTTCTTGGCTGTCACTTGGCAACTCGAAGTTTCAGCTCCCTCCATAAATTTTCTATAGGATTAAGGTCTGGAGACTGGCAAGGCTACTCCATGACCTTAATGTGCTTCTTTTTGAACCACTCTTTTATTGCCTTGGCAGTATGTTTTGGGTCATTGTCATGCTGTTAAACCCATCCATGACCCATCTTCACTGTTCTGGGTGAGGGAAGAAAGTTGTCATCCAAGATTTTGCAATACATGCCCCTGTCCATTGGCCCCCCAAAGCAGCAAAGTCAGCCTGTACCTTTAGCACAGAAACAGCCACAAAGCATAATGTTTCCACCTCCGTGCTTGACAGTTGGGATGGTGTTTAGGATCATAGTCAGCATTTTTCTTCCTCCAAACACAGAGAGTCAAGTTAATGCCAAATAGCTCAATTTTGGTCTCATCGGCCACAGCACTTTCTCCCAATCCTTCTCTGAATCATTTAGATGTTCATTGGCAAACTTCAGATGGGCCTGCTCATGTGCCTTCTTGAGGAGTGGGAATTTGCAGGTGTTGCAGGATTTCAATCCGTGGTGGTGTATTGTGTTATCAATGGTTTGTTTGAGGACTGTGGTCCCAACTGCCTTGAATCATTCACAAGCTCCTCTTGTGTAGTTCTGGGCTGATCCTTCACTTTTCTCAGGATCATTCTTACCCCATGAGGTGAAATCTTGCATGGAGCTCCAGAGAGGGCAATTGATGGTTATTTTATATTTTTTCCCATTTGTGAATAATCGCTCCAACAGTTGTCTCCTTCTCACCAAGCTTCTTGCCGACGGTCTTGTAGCCCATTCCACCCTTATGCAGGTCTACAATCCCTGACGTCCTTTGACAGCAGTTTGGTTTTACTCATGGTGGTAAGGTTTGAATGGAAGAAAGATTCCGTGGGCAGGTGTCTTTTATGCACATAATGAGTTGTTATTAGGAGAACCTTCTTAAGTTTACAGAACTAATCTGTGTACAACATGAGCACATAGCCAATCTGTGGGAGCCAGAATTATTGTTGGTTGGTAGGGGATCAAATACTTACTTCACTCACTGAACCGCAACTCAATTCATAACATTTGTATCATATGTTTTTAAAATACACCTATGACACAAATTATAAATCTCTAATTTCACTGTAAATAGGCAAACTTACAAAATCTGCAGGGGATAAGATAATTATTTTCCCCACTGTATCTGCTGCAGCAGATTAGTTAACAGCTGACACTTCTTTTTTCCGCTGCAGCAATGCATCTACCTTACACCTCGCTGTTTACATGCAGCTCAGTGGAATATATTTACTGACAACTTGTTTTTCAAGGTGCATACTCCAGGACTGACGTGCATATCCTTGATTTATTACTGAAGGTGTATGTATAGAAAAAACGTTTTTTGGCTTTGGCTAGTGCTGGGAACTCCCTGTCAGTTTATTTTTTGCAGTTCTGTACCATTGAGAAAACTGCCTTTCACTTCCTACCCCAGTAACACAACAAAACGTTAAGAGGAAGCCTACCAAAGTGAAGAGATCTCAGAGAGCTTCCCCTGAAATGGACATCTCCCATTACATTCAAATTTGCTGGAAAATATATAAACGTGAGGTCTATTTGATGCAATTAAAAGAGAAATGCCAGGCACATGTTTTTTTTTAAATTTCAGGTGTGTATAGTTAAGTTACCTCTCCTGAGGTGGATTATATTGCCCAATTGTTGCTAAGAATTCTACTGCAAAATGACAAGCTAGTGTTGTTAATCTGTGCCTCTTCTCTCTGTTCGTTCACAGAACGTATTCTGCAGACCAGTCACAGAAGTGCCTGGAGTTCTACTATAACTTATAAGGCTGTTAGTTTCAATTTTGTGGTATAGAAAAGTGTATGGCCGGTAACAATCAGTGAGATTGAGGGTTATGTAATTGGTAGCCTGGTATGCAAAAAAAAAAAAAAAAACACCTAGAATCGGACTACATGTTCTGAAAAATACATTTCCCAGTTGATAGTTTAGCAACTGGATCACGCATCAGATTTTATCAGGCATTACCTGAATCTTCTGTATGACCCAAGGTAAACCTTCTGCAACGTCTCCCCAGTGTCAGCAGCAATACGTAGCAACCAGTTGTGACCAGTTATGGCAATCAACGAGGCGGTATAGTCTGATGGCTGAGGAAGAGCCTCCCCCTGATCAATAAGAAATATTTATATAGTCACCCAAATTTTTCAAAAATCAGAGTAATGTATTTGCCATGAAAATTACAAACTAAAGCTGAGATTAGCCTGTAGCTTTAGACTCACAGTTGAACCAAACCAAAGAACATTGTCATAACATTGTCATTTTAAAACAAACCTTTTGCCTAAAATGTACTTACCAATGGAACTTCACATAACATTGCGTCTTCAATTTTTTCTGATTTTAGACATCTGGGCATTTCGTACAGTTGCTGTGGTTTTGAAGGAATACTGCAAAAAAAAAAATTTAATAATCAACATTTTAGTTTGCATTTTGGGACACCAGCAGGTCAATTTAACACCAAAATACAAAAACAGTAGACAAACTGAGCAATACCAACCAACCAGAAACCACCTTTCACTATGCTATATTAAAATTTGATTGGTTACTTTAAAGTTTAAGTTCACCTTTTCAGAATAAATGAAAAAAGGAGAGCTAAGGCTACATTCACACTGGTGATTAGGACCTGTGCGAATAGTAGCAGCAGGAATCAGAATTTCCTGCTGCAGCGCTCAGTGGGTAGGTGCGACTGCTGTCCCCATTCACTGTAATGACAGGTCTCCAGTGACCGCACCTATTTGAGGGCTCTCTGCACAGCCAATGATTAGCAGGTTATCTGTGTGCAGAGAGACGCAAATCGGTGTGGCTGTCGGCATCCTGTCAGTACAGTGAACAGGGCCTGTGGTCGCACCTACCTGCTGAGAGCCGCAACAGGAACTGCTGCTACAATTCGCAGCAACCCTAATCATCGGTGTGAACGTTGCCTAACACTGTACACCCCCAAGTCTCCGCTGTACTTACCTTAGTGGGTGATTTGAAATCCCCACTCTATTCCCATTTCTTTTGGCAAGGCTATCCATTCGGATAAAAGCAATTCTGATGTGTCAGTAATGGCACAGAGCATTGCTATGATCCAACCTAGAAGTGCTGCAGAAAGTAGAGAGAGAGAAAAGAGGGGATTTCAAATTCCTGGACTGCTACAGCGGCTGTGGCGGCACCGACAGCTTAGCACACACTGAACACTAAGCACACTGGGAACCAGGGGGTGAGAAAGGTGTAGAGTGTTAGTTCATCTTTTAATTTTTTTTCTGAAAAAGGCATACTGACCGTTTAAGTTATTGCACTTTAAGAATGAACTCCACCACATTCAATTATGTGTTAAAAAAAACATTTAAAATCAATTTTCTGAGCTTGACTGAATTTTTTCTTAGATTCCCTCTTTGCTACACACGCGGTGCACTACTCTATTATTGGCATCAGACAGATGCCACAGTATGAGACTCAGAATGCCGGTTGACTTAGTCACCTCTCAGGCACACAATAACTTTTTGAGACCTATACAAAAGGGACTGGACACCACAGCTCACCAAAACATACTGTACTGCTGGGATCTGCATAGCAAGTACAATGCATGATAGGATTACACACAGATCTACAAATGAACTCATTACCTACTGTAACAGCACCCAAAGTTGGCAAAATAAATTCTTCCACTGACATAGTTGATGGAGCACTTTGAATGTTTTGTCCAAACTTTGCGAAACTTTGTGGTTTTCTAAAGAAACAATATAAGACAATTGTGAACATCAACTATATGTCCAAATATTTATAGGAATTAGGGATACAAATGACTCCTAACAGCAGGACAATCTGGCAGTTGGTCATAACTCTGAGTGAAAGCGAGCTGAGAGCAAAGTATGGGCATTCCTTGATAGCTAGTTCAGCACAAAGGAGCTGCAGAATGAATGGCCCAGATCTGTCAAAGCCTTTCAGGAAAAAAAACTTTAGCACTAATGTCTCTAAGGTTTAAACTGATATTTCATTTTTAGGTAGAGCCCAGCAGGCTGAAAGAGATATATTTTTCTCTCTTTATTGAAGGATATGGCTGCAAGATTGCCACATCTGTCATTACTCAGCTGAATACTTTAAAGTCTTCACCTAAGTGCCCGCCCCGCTTACCTCTCTTCAATGGCCTCTTGTAGTGTTTATAGCCCCTGTTGAGTAATCTCCTCTGGGTTTCCTGCACCAGCATTTCATAGTGTCCCATTCAAGTCAATAGAAAATTACCACAGGTGGGGCAAAAAGATTTCTAGACAGATGATCTAAACACTGCAGGAGGCTGTCGCTATTAGAGGGCAGAAAATATGCAACTAATACACTAGAGGGGTAATACTAGAAGGGTAAAAAATACACTAGAGGGGTCGGAAGTGTGAGCTGGGGACATTTTATCCAAATCCGATCTTGTCCTTTAACTTTTACTAACAGCAGGCGACAGCTTCAGGCTAGGCACGTACCCATAAGTCACCGTCTGTTTCTGGGTTTTCAGGAGTGCGTGTGCATGCCCCTCTGACTCGAGCTCTGGACACAACACAAGTTTGTCAGCAGGGTTCAGCCAATAATTTTGACTGAATACCACCTGATCGGTTTTGGCCAACCACAGAACTCTGTACACAGAACATCAGTCTGGCTGTTTCTTCTCCCTAAAGCAGGGAGAACAAAAAAGGCAGACATTTGTTAGGAACACAGTTAACCCCGTGATGTGGCGCTATAACTTTCACACAAACCAATTAATATACACTTACTGGGATTTTTTTTCCCCAAAGACATTATGGCCTGAACTTATGAAGAAATTTGTTTTTTTTATTAACATGTTTTATAACAGAAAGTAGAAAATAATGTGTTTTTTGGTCATTTTTTGATTGTATAATAAAAAATAAAAAAACAGAGGTGATCAAATACCACCAAAACAAAGCTCTATTTGTATGCAAAAAAATGATCTAAATTTAATTTGGATAGAGTGTTATATGACAGAGCAATTGACAGTTAAAGTAGCAAAATACTGAAGAACATAAAAATGCCCTGAAGGCGGTAAAACCTTGCAGAGGTCAAGTGCTTAAAGAAGAATTGCCATTTCATTTGTTTGTTTCACATTACCTGACAAACAATTTTTCTTAAAATGTTCATATTAATTCTGTGGTTATTGTAGGCACCCTTTGGAAAGGAGCCCAAAGTCTTTCTAGTGACAAGGATGCAGACATTTTTCACACTATCAGCCCTTGAAGAAAATCTTCCACTGGTTATTTGATGAGATGTGGGTGGCTTTAGGCCTATACCAGAATTCATTGCTGGTCACATCAGCGATATCCAGCAAACTGCGAACTTTAGAAACTAGGCAGGTACTTCACAGTCTTATGTGGATCAACATAGCCATTTTTTCCACGCAATGCCAAATCTTCACATGGCCTAAAATAAAAGTCAAGAATAATCATGTTAGGAGCATATATTATAAGATCCTGATTTAGGACAACACTGAATTTAACCAACCAACTCTGCAGGGATTTGTCCCATATTTTGAACATTGATGATGGTAACATGTACCTTTATCTATACTGTGAGAAAAATGTTGATCTTTATCAGTGACACACCTCTGAAATACTAGTTGCTTGGCTGTTTCTGGCATCAATACTTTGAGTCACTGACTCAGGATAAACATGGATCAGATGACGTCAGAACAAAGTCAGAACTGATGGGCATACTTGTTCTGGGTCAGTGACACAAAGTATTTAACCAACTGTTTAGAATGGAAGTCAATTAGCAAGTTTAGCAGTCAGTAATGCCAGCCTGCAAGCTCCTTTATGCTGCTTAAAAGGCACCGTTACCCATTTTTCTTTGTACTGTCAGACCTCCTGAAATACTACAGCTTAAAGGATACTGAGTCATCAGGTACCCCACCCACATGGACAGCACTCAGTCATTGAGCGATATGCTGTCAAGCTCAAACACTGTCAAAAATTTGGGTTGAAGGTATGGCTAAATCATTTTTAGAAAGCCAGTACTTGTATAGAAACTTATGCGCAGTCCAGTCCAAGAATGCTCTGCGCCTCATGGTGCCTAACATTCAAGCTCAATTTCAACTGGCCATAAACGACTCCTTTTTTAATCAGCCTGCAGGGTGATCAAAAAAAGAACTCAACAAATTTCAGTCCCTCCTCAACAGAAGTTGATTGTATGATTGACTTCTGTCAATGGTACATATCAGAAACCTAATCAGTGCACAATATCCCAGCAGGGTGAGGAAAGGGGAGGGGGGGATTCCTTTAACCACCTTGTTTTCTGTGGATGGAAGAATCTGTTAATTGTTTTTATTCAGACTGCTGGCTGAAAAAAGAAACTGACCGTCAGTGGCCAACTTTAAAAACAGTTTATCAACCACAAAGCAAATGCAGTAATGTCAAAATGTTGATATTCAGGACCACACTGATATTTAGGTTTTTCTTAGAGGCCAGAGAGTGAAAATGAACTTCATTAAAGAGAACTTGAACTGTAGAAGCTGTGCCCAAAAAGGCAAGCAGAGGACAACGGACTAGTCACCAGTATTGCCTGTGGTCTCCCTGCAGCTGGTCCTTTCCATATTCCTTATACCTTGTACTGCACTGTGTCTCTGTATGGTGGTGGCGGCTATCTTGGTAAAGGCAGAGCTTTGCTTCCACATGCCAGAATTTCACCCCCAATTGCTGGTGATGGATGGGATAATCAATGAAGAAAAAACTGGGAGATGCTGCCCACTACAGTACCTTAGGTATCAAATCCTATCCAACAAGGAGAACAGTGAGCAATACAGTGATGACATCCTCAAATCTCAAGAGTCCAGCAGTCAGAGTCAGCAGTGTCTTAGATCTCACACTACCCATATGCGACAACTAGGCCCAATGCACATGAGCGACTAGGCACAAGATTTCAAAACAAATACAGAATTTTTAATTGTACTGCTTAGGCACAACTAACATTTCTAGATGTTCTCCATGAATAGCAAAGCTTAATTTTTGTTGAGGTCAGGTCCATTTTAATACCTCAGTTATGTCTGCGTTAGTGTTCCCAGCTCCCCACACCTGCTGTCATTGCTCTTTGATTATTTATTTTTATGATGCCAGTATATGCGTGAGTAATTAACATAGACTGGAGTGTAAGATCTCAGTTCTCTGGAGTTTACTTTGGGCGGTACAGTTTCATCATAGGAGGGAGAGAGGGAGAGACCTGGTGCCGTAATAGCAGCATACAAGTGAGGGCAGAAAACCGATCACATGTATGCCATATATAGGCACCAGGAAAAGAAAATTATGGAAAGATTAAAGTTATTTTAAACCCGAATTTTTTTTTCCTAAAGATTTCAGCAATGCAGGTCTACACTTTCATTGGGCGCTGCTTCTCACCCTTTTGAAACTTCTTTGTTTGGCTGTATCCATTATTGCTGTGCACACCTTTCCATTTTAGAGTGGCTCCTTTTCCTAGCAGGGTGCTATGGAGTCACTCATTTGACTACAGCCCAATGTGAGGAAGATGCCTGCTCCGACATTCACAGGTGAATAAAAAAAAAACAGAGCCATTGTCAATCACTTTCCTTGAATGAGGAGCAGAGGCATATATCCAATGGATTATCCTCTCTGGCTGCATGTCAGTACAGCTTATTACACTGGACACTAATCTGCTAGCAAGGTATGACTGCTATTACAGACATCATAACGGTCTGCACCACCACTGAGAAAATATACAAAACAATGTTTTCTCAATGGCAGGGCATGCATTCGTGTTGACACTATGCATAATGTGACATGCAGTCCCAATGAATGAATTCTGGTGACTGGTAGGGGATGTTATGAGAGGGTGCTTCTGATGGGAAGTTCGGGGAAGCAATGCACAGGAAGGAGCTTAATAGTGACAAAACTTTAACTGTTTATAAAACAATCAATACTGATATGCTGTGGTTCAAAGATACAAGGCTTACCAAAAAAAAAAAAAAAAAAAAAAAAAAAAAAAAGATATGAAGCTCTAAAGCCCAACTCCAGGCAGATAAAAGAGTATCCCTTGCAGTAGGGCTGCACACAAACTACAAGGGTAATTGCTCATTTTGTCTAGGGGAGAGAAGTAGTTTTACTTACCTGATCCTCTGCTCCCCCATAATCCAGTGGTAGACTGTCCCTTGGCATCCTTACATCCTGAGCAGGGCTTGTGTAGAGCGTAGGGGAGAAGAAGCTGCAAGGACCAGTCTAGCTGAGGAAAGGAGCAGAGGATCGGGTAAGTAAATCTTCCTTTATTGTCTTCCCTAGATATAAATGAGCAATTATCCTTGCAATGTAGGCAAAGCCCCACTGAGTGGGATTTTTTTTTTTTCTGCCTTAAGTTGGCCTTTAAGTTATCTAAAGCCAGAACCAATGTAATATATGGCAAGTCACTAGTCCTCGGTGTGGTTGCTACACTTGTTTTCTTTTTTTTTTTTTTTCCCCCAAGCTTCCTTTGCTTTATTTTTCTGCAAATAATATGCCTCCTGTCCATAGGTGACTACGCCACTCCTTCACTATCTATGGAAGAAGCCATGGTTTTCACCCTACGCAGCTCTGATATGGGCTAGAAACAAGTCCTTATCTCTTCATCTCCATTACACGAGGGGCTAGACAATTAGTGGTTTACAGAAGGGAGCTAGGAAAGAAAAGTTTTCTTCAGGAATTCTCACAGGAAGTGACAAAGACAATGCATTTCTGGCAGGATCAGCAGGTATTTTCTGTATTTGTTGAAAATGTTATTAGGTAAAAAATATAAATAAAAAAATAGACAAATAAAGAAAACTAACGCAGATGCCACATCTAGTTATCCTTTAAAAGAGAGGTGTGGGAAATTAAAAAAACAACAACACACATAGCCACCTAGATGGTTACCCCCTGCTGGCTACACACCGAGAAATTAGCAATCAAAGACCACTGATCACTCAGTTCTCAGGTCAGCTCTGTGACAGTCATCGCATTGTGCTCTGCCCCTCCAGCACTGGAACGCCAGGCTGTGGTGGTGTCAGGAGTGGCTGGCTAAGGCCCTCAGCAGTGCGTCAAGAGACTGAACCAGTTACCAATCAGGCATCTGTGAGGGATCTTGACATTATTCTTGGGATACCTGGACTGGCTCTGTGATGTCTGCTGACAGCGGTATTTCGTCTGCGGTTGGCTGAATCTGGATAACAGGAGTGTAGAACGAAGTGCCCTCCTGTGTCCCACAGGAGAAGTATGGGCAAAAGAGCTTTGGCCATACTTCCCCTTTAGGGCCAGTTCACACCACAAAAAATGCACTCCGGATACATTTTTTGCTTACAGTTTAAACCACACTCTGTTTCGGTGCAGTTTGCTATGTTCTAGTACAGTTCTGTGCAGAAAAAATGTAGCATATTCAACTTTTTTTTTCTGCACTGGAAAATGACTGGAACTGGGTGGCACAGTGGCTTAGTGGTTAGCACATCTGCCTTGCAGTAAATGGGTCATGGGTTTGATTCCCTACCATGGGCCTCCTGCATGGAGTTTGCATGTTCTCCCTGTGCTTGCGTGGGTTTACTCCGCGTACTCCGGTTTCCTCCCACACTCCAAAGAAATGCTGGTAGGTTAATTGGATCCTGTCTAAATTGTCCTAGTTTCTATGTGTATGTATGAATGTGAGTTAGGGACCTTAGATTGTACACCCCATGAGGGTTAGGGACCGATGTGAATGTACAATATATATGTGTAAAGCGCTGCGTAAATTGACAGCACTATAAAAGTACCTGAAATAAATAAATAAAACTGATTGCACTGGTGTGAACTAGGGACACCGGAATACATGTAAAACATTGTGCATGCATTTTTGATGCAGAAAAAACCGCACTGGAGTGCATCTGGTGTGAATTAGCCCTTGAACTGTAACTGAAGACAAACTTTTTGTTTAATTTTAGGTGGAATAGAGATGGATTAGAACACCTGTCAGGTTTGTATTGCTGTCTGTTTCACCCTCTCTATTTGTCCTGTTTATCATTCTCACCAAAAGTGAACGTAAAATCAAATCACACATTTTGGGTTGTCACCAGAACAGTAATGGAGGGGAAATCTTCTCTCACTTTACAGGGATTTCCTCTCATGTCCTCTTTGTTTATGGGACAGGAACTGAAGGGAAATCTCCACACTGGGACACAAATGGTAAACAAAAAACTGACGGGTTATAACCCTCCCTTACTCTATCCAAAATGGAAAGCCAATAGTTTAGCCTATAGTTCTACTTGCACACAATGTTGTGGTATATGATTGTAGTGGGGAAGGGACATTAGATGGCTGTTC